CCGTTTGATTGTTGAAGCGCCCTCTTACCCCCTCCCCTCCCTCCATCTCCCCCACCACTCCCTCCCCTCCCACCAGTTCGTGCGGGATTTGCTCGGCTGGGCCTAACTCGCTCCGTGGGGGGGGGTGCTGGCGCTGTTACCCAGTTTGCCCGTTTGATTTTTTAATCGTCCTCTTACCCCCTCCCATCCCTCCCTCTCCCCCACCACTTCCCTCCCTCCCCGCCCGCCACTCCCACCAGTTCGTGCGGGAGTTTGCTCAGCTGGGTCTGACTCGTTCCGTGGGGGGGGTGCTGGCACTGGCGCTGTGCAGAGAGCTCTCCCCCGTCGTCACCACCGCTATCATCCTACTGAGCACCGGCAGGGCAACTGAGCAAATCGCCGCCCAATTGCGTGGCCAGCTGAGCAAATCGCCCATCCTACCTTCTCCCATCCCATCCCCTTCCATACCCTCCCATGTTCCCGTGCGCTCCCATCCCCTTGCCATCTCCCCAGTTCGTGCGGGAGTTTGCTCGGCTGGGTCTGACTCGCTCTGTGGGGGGTGTGCTGGCGCTGGCGCTGTGCAGAGAGCTCTCCCCCGTCGTCACCGCCATCATCATGGCTGGCCGCGTGGGCAGCTCCTTTGCTGCTGAACTAGGCACCATGCAGGTGGGTTTTAGGCCACGTACAATCATCATCACCAACACCCTCACCAAGAGCTCTCCCCTGTCGCCACCACCACCATCATGTGGCTGGGCGCGTGGGCGGGCAGCTCCTTTGCTGTTGAATTAGGCACCATGCAGGTGAGATTGGGTGCAGCATAGTTGCAGGTTTAGTCACCGTCACCGTAAGCTCTCCCCCGTCGCCACCACTATCATCGTGGCTGGCCGCGTTGGGAGTTCTTTCGCTGCTGAGCTGGCACCATGCAGGTGGGAATCAGCACACTGGCACCATGCAGGTGGCAATCAGCACACTGGCACCATGCAGGTGGCAATCAGCACACTGGCACCATGCAGGTGGCAATCAGCACACACCTCGCTCGCCATGCGCTCTCCTCCGTCGTCACCGCTATCGTCATGCAACCCACACAGTTGTTCGAGCAAGCAGACACCCTCAGATTGCCCAAGACCTATCACCAGTAGACTACCTCATGACGCCACGCGTGGTAGCGTGTGCCGCCGTCGCCCTCCCCGTGCTCAAGCTGCTGTGCTTCATCCAGTTGCTCCTGTCTGCTTCTTCCCTTCCCTCCCTGCAGGCATCAGAGCAAACGGACACCCTCAGAGTGTTCAAGACGGATCCTGTCCTGCGGACTACCCCGTGACACCACGCGTGGTGTTGTGTTCGCTGGCCCTCCCCGTGCTCACGCTGCTGTGCTCTGGGTTCCTCTGCCCCCAATCCACACAGGTGTCAGAGCAAACGGACACCCTGCGAGTTCTCAAGACCGATCCAGTGGACTACCTGGTGACTCCGCGCGTGGTGGCATGCGCGGTGGCCCTGCCCGTGCTAACACTGCTGTGCTTCACGGTGGGCATGGCCTCCTCTGTGTTCCTCGCTGATGCCGTCTACAACGTCAGCTCCAACATCATCCTCGACTCAGCCGCCAGGGCGTTGCAGGTGCGTGTTCTGGGTGTACAAGGTGTGTTCTATGCTGCTCGTGCGCTGCAGGGACTTGTGCTGTTCTCTGCTGCTCAAGCTGCTGACTGTGCTTCACGGTGGGCATGGCCTCCTCTGTCTCCCTAACTGACGCAGTCTACAACGTCAGCTCCAACATTATCCTCGACTCAGCTGCCAGGGCACTGTAGGTGTGTAGAGCGGTAGTGTGGGGCATGAAGGTGTGGGGTGGTGCAGTAATGGGTTGAGGTGCTACTGTTTACAACGTCAGCTCCGATATCATCCTCGACTCCGCTGCCAGGGCGTTGCAGGTGTGTAGAGCGGTGGTGTGGGGTATGTAGGTGTTGGACGTGCTGAGCATGATGGTGAAGGTGGTGGTGTTCGGAGCCAACAGTTCCACCATCCCCTTTATTTGCCTTCATAACCACACACACACACACACACACACACACATGCACACACACACACAAACACACACACACGCACACACGCACGCACGCACACACGCACGCACGCACACACGCACGCACACACGCACACACGCACACACGCACACACACACACAACCCCTCCCCACCTCCCCCCCTCACTCCCCAGGCGTGGGACGTGCTGATCATATGGTGGTGTTCGGGAGCATCATAGCGGACGTGAGCTGCGGGTGGGGCATGACCTCCTCTCTCCGCCCTCTTCCATCTCCATCTCTCCTCTCACGCTCTCCCCTCTCCCCTATCCTCCCAACGTACAGGCGTGGGACGTGCTGAGCATGATGGTGAAGGCGGTGGTGTTCGGGGGCATCATAGCGGACGTGAGCTGCGGGTGGGGCATGACCACGCAGGGCGGCGCCAAGGGCGTTGGCGAGTCCACCACCGCGGCAGTGGTTATTTCGTTGGTTCTCGTCTTTATCGCTGATTTCGCCCTCTCCTGGTGCTTCTTCCAGGGGCCTGGGGACGCCCTGAAAGCAGCCATGGGGTAGAACACAGTGGTTGGGTGCTTCTTCCAGGGGCCGGGGAATCCACTCAAGGCAGCCATGGGGTCGAGGAGAGGAGGAGAGGGTTCAGGGGGGAGGGAGAGGAAGGAAGGGAAGGAGGAGATGGATAGCGAGTTTATTCCTTCAAAGTTCCTCCTGGCCCCCAGACCAGATTGAACAGATTTTGCGCAAGAAGTAGGTCACGACGATCTTTGTGGCCCAGCGTCAGTTGTACAAATCCTTGCAAGTCCTTTGAATAATCACAGAGTATGCCTGGCGCACTCCGTGAGTAGCCTGCCGTATGCTTTTATCTGTCACTCTTGTCGTGCTCCCTTGGCTAGTCCTTCCATCGATGCAATCTCTCAACCAAAACCTCAAAAGGCTGACTCGTCCTTCCAGCACTCTCGCCTCGCCTCCTCGACCTTGCCAGTTAGTCAGTGCCTGCAGACAAACGCAGTCTCGTCCGCCTTTCCAGCACCTGGCGTCTTTGCTCGCATCAGAACGCCCTCCACCGTCGTCGCTCAGCCAAACCTCATGCTCTCTTCCGCACCTCCCACCCCCTCCCTCACATTCCGACCGCGGTCCACAAATAACCGCTCCTCATCCCTCCCCAACGCACTGAACCGCAGGCGATTGGAAACCGAACCCAGCGTACTTGACGGTAAAGAACGCCGCGGCGCGGCAGTCCCGAACCGACGACCTTCACCGCGCTCGTTCCGCCTGCGGTATCGCGTCAGCGCCGTTATCGCATGAGCACTTGCCTCAATGGGGGGAAGCGTTTCGAGTGTAAGATGCGCATCTATTGTACAGTACAAGGTACAGTATAATCCCCAAGTGGCCTCCTCAAGGGGTAGGAGGAGGGGACCTTACTTACCCCGCACCACAGGGCCGCAGCAAGTGCACTGTTCGGGGTTTGCTGAGTAGTTCAAGTGGCTCATTTACATTATTACATGACAGAATTTTGGATTCCATACAATTATCCAGATTCCAGACTCGGCCTCCAAACTCTTTCTGTCACAGTGCGTTCACCTTTTAGTCGCCATCAACACCTATTAGCACCCGCTAGTTGCAGCTGACGACTCCAATGGCGGCGACTGTGACAGATGACAACTTTTCAAGCCTTGTTTTGGAGAGCAATCTTCCCATGCTCGTCTTGTTCTACGCTTCGTGGTCCGGCCCGTCACGGATGGTTGCTACCCACATAGACCAGCTCGCCCCTGAATACGCGGGAAGAGTCGCCTGCTATAAAGTGGACACCGACCAAAGTCCCGAGACGGCCATGCGTGAGAGCGCCGGAACCGTGCCTTATGTGAAGATTTACATGGGGGGAGTTGAATATGAGACGATTTGTAGAAACCTTACGAGCTTGCAAAACGTTCTGGTATGGGATCATCATGGGGTTGGCTGGCTGAACATTGCTTCCGGGATGGAAGGAAATCCAACATCTGGCTTTCAGGCTTCCAACATCTGGCTTTCAGGCTTCTAACATTTGGCTTTCAGGCTTCCAACATCTAGCTTTCAGGTACCTAGGCCAGCCAGCTTGGCATCTAGTCAGCAGCAGCCACACTGAGTGTTGGACTTGGATAAAAGGACTTTTATGAACTGTATGGATCTATTTGGAATGGCCACACCACAACAAACATGTGTGAGATGCGATCAGCCTGGCCTCTCTGAAGCAGCAGCAGCCGCTAAAGGGCTAGAGCGCACAACTGCTTGCTCCAGCAAAGCCACCTGGATGGGGCAAACTAAGGAAGGCCGTATCGTGGTTGGTTTGATGCATAATGGTTGATTGATATACATGCTGAGGCTAATCAGCTTGGCCTGTCTGTAGCAGCGGGCACAGAGGGGTTTGAGCTGGCAACTGCCTGCTCCAGCCGAGCCACCTGGATGGGGCAAACCAGGGAAGGCCGCATTATGGTTGGTTTGATGTGAGGTATAATGATCAAGCTGAGAGACTAGCAGAAAACGGAAGAAAAGAAAGGGACGGAAAAGCAAGACTTGAAGTTTGTTGCTGAGGCCTGGCAAAGGAATGCCGGTCTATGAGAGGTGTTGAACATGTCAGAAATGTGTGCATGAACGAAACAAACTTCACAGGGCCACATGTCACACAGGCACATGCCACACTGCCACATGCCACACTGCCACATGCCACACTGCCACATGTCACACTGCCACATGCCACACTGCCACATGCCACACTGCCACATGCCACACTGCCACATGCCACACTGCCACATGCCACACTGCCACATGCCACACTGCCACATGCCACACTGCCACATGCCACACTGCCTCATGCCACGCTGCCTCATGCCACACATGTCACAGGGCACAGCCACATGTCAACACGCATGGCACGGGGCCACCACATCTCACCTTGGCCATGAGCCGAGCCTTGTCAACTCCTCCTCGTGCTGCCACTTCATTCGAAGTGTACATCCAAATGTCACAGGGCCAAACTCACAGGGCCAAACTCACAGGGCCAAACTCACAGGGCCAAACTCACAGGGCCAAACTCACAGGGCCAAACTCACAGGGCCAAACTCACAGGGCCAAACTCACAGGGCCAAACTCACAGGGCCAAACTCACAGGGCCAAACTCACAGGGCCAAACTCACAGGGCCAAACTCACAGGGCCAAACTCACAGGGCCAAACTCACAGGGCCAAACTCACAGGGCCAAACTCACAGGGCCAAACTCACAGGGCCAAACTCACAGGGCCAGACTCACAGGGCCAAACTCACAGGGCCAAACTCACAGGGCCAAACTCACAGGGCCAAACTCACAGGGCCAAACTCACAGGGCCAAACTCACAGGGCCAAACTCACAGGGCCAAACTCACAGGGCCAAACTCACAGGGCCAAACTCACAGGGCCAAACTCACAGGGCCAAACTCACAGGGCCAAACTCACAGGGCCAAACTCACAGGGCCAAACTCACAGGGCCAAACTCACAGGGCCAAACTCACAGGGCCAAACTCACAGGGCCAAACTCACAGGGCCAAACTCACAGGGCCAAACTCACAGGGCCAAACTCACAGGGCCAAACTCACAGGGCCAAACTCACAGGGCCAAACTCACAGGGCCAAACTCACAGGGCCAAACTCACAGGGCCAAACTCACAGGGCCAAACTCACAGGGCCAAACTCACAGGGCCAAACTCACAGGGCCAAACTCACAGGGCCAAACTCACAGGGCCAAACTCACAGGGCCAAACTCACAGGGCCAAACTCACAGGGCCAAACTCACAGGGCCAAACTCACAGGGCCAAACTCACAGGGCCAAACTCACAGGGCCAAACTCACAGGGCCAAACTCACAGGGCCAAACTCACAGGGCCAAACTCACAGGGCCAAACTCACAGGGCCAAACTCACAGGGCCAAACTCACAGGGCCAAACTCACAGGGCCAAACTCACAGGGCCAAACTCACAGGGCCAAACTCACAGGGCCAAACTCACAGGGCCAAACTCACAGGGCCAAACTCACAGGGCCAAACTCACAGGGCCAAACTCACAGGGCCAAACTCACAGGGCCAAACTCACAGGGCCAAACTCACAGGGCCAAACTCACAGGGCCAAACTCACAGGGCCAAACTCACAGGGCCAAACTCACAGGGCCAAACTCACAGGGCCAAACTCACAGGGCCAAACTCACAGGGCCAAACTCACAGGGCCACACTCACAGGGCCAAACTCACAGGGCCAAACTCACAGGGCCAAACTCACAGGGCCAAACTCACAGGGCCAAACTCACAGGGCCAAACTCACAGGGCCAAACTCACAGGGCCAAACTCACAGGGCCAAACTCACAGGGCCAAACTCACAGGGCCAAACTCACAGGGCCAAACTCACAGGGCCAAACTCACAGGGCCAAACTCACAGGGCCAAACTCACAGGGCCAAACTCACAGGGCCAAACTCACAGGGCCACAGGTCACATGTCAACAACACACATGGCACACAACCACATGTCAACGACACACATGCCACACAACCACATGTCAACGACACACATGCCACACTACCACATGTCAACGACACACATGCCACACTACCACATGTCAACGACACACATGCCACACTACCACGTGTTAACCACACACATGGCACACTACCACATGTCAACGACACACATGCCACACTACCACGTGTCAACCACACACATGCCACACTACCACATGTCAACCACACACATGCCACACTACCACATGTCAACAACACACATGGCACACAACCACATGTCAACGACACACATGCCACACAACCACATGTCAACGACACACATGCCACACTACCACATGTCAACCACACACATGCCACACTACCACATGTCAACCACACACATGCCACACTACCACATGTCAACCACACACATGCCACACTACCACATGTCAACCACACACATGCCACACTACCACATGTCAACCACACACATGCCACACTACCACATGTCAACCACACACATGCCACACTACCACATGTCAACCACACACATGCCACACTACCACATGTCAACAACACACATGCCACAATACCACATGTCAACCACACACATGCCACACTACCACAGTTCACAGGGCACAGCGCCCACCCGTCTCACCTTGGCCAGGAGCTGAGCCACCTCCTCCTCGTGCTGCCGCTTCATCTGCAGGAACCTCATCAGTGCCGCCTCCATCCATGCCTTCTCCGCTGCCAGCTGCAACGCAAGTCAATGGGAGTCAACGTGAGTCAATGGGAGTCAGCATAGTCAAATGTGAGTCAGCACAAGTCAATGTGAGTCAGAACAGAACAAGTCAATGTGAGTCAGCACAAGTCAATGTGAGTCAGAACAGAACAAGTCAATGTGAGTCAGCACAAGTCAATGTGAGTCAGAACGGAGCGGAAGTCATGGCAGGTCAAAGACACGGCAGCACAAATCAATCCTTCAACCTGCACCTATTGCACCACCACAGCGGTACCTGCTGCACCTGGACTCACACTACTTATGCTGAATCACATGGACATTCCCTCCCCCCCCCCTTCCTCCCCCTCTTTTTATTTTTTATTTTTTTGCACTTTCGCCCTCACCTGCTGCACTACCAGGTTCTTCTGCTGCTCCTCTGCCAACTGCCGCTGGAGCTCCATATAATCCTGAAGGGTGGTGGAGAGAGATGGAGAGTGGTGGAGAAGGATAATACAGAGTTAAAGGCAGGGGGGAAGGTTCTTCTGCTGCTACTCTGCCAGCTGCTGCTGAAGCTCCATATAATCCTGAAGGGGAATGCGAGGGGTGGGTGGAGAACAATTTAGGGCGGAGGAGAGGGATGGAGACAGACGAAGGCAGGGAGGGAAAAGGCTCTGCGGTTGTTCCTATTGCTTCCTTGTGACCTTGATGTGAAGCTAAGCATGTCCTAAGCTATGGACCATGTCCCTTCTGTTAGAACTTGGACTTAGAATCCATACATTAGTAATGAGCTCAAGGCTCTTTAAATACATTGGAAATGGGCAAGGTAAGGGTGGGGAGAGAATCGGGGGCAATCCTAGGGAATTGGGGGTAATCCCAAGGCAATCTCCAATTGGTGGGTTGGAGATTGCTTGGAGATTACATTTGCGTTTGGTTGGGATGTAGGTGTACACCCAACCAAACACAAAGTGCAAGCTACACTAACCTAGGATATAAACAGTACAAGTACAAATGTGAGATTGAGGGCTAACATTAACACCCCCCCATAGACGTCAATCGAACTCAGGGCAGAGAAGGTGGAGCGCAGAGCCCCATGGCGCCTAGAAGGCGATGGTGAGGAACCTTCCCAAGGGGCTTGGTGAACAGATCAGCCAAGTTGCAGTCACAAGCCACATACTCCACATTGAGCTGCTCCCGCTTGACAAGGTCACGGATGAAGAAGTACCGAAGTTCGATGTGCTTGGTGCGAGTGTGGTACACGGGATCCTAGGAGAGGTAGATGGTGCTCTTGTTGTCACACCAGAGCGTGGGAGTGGGCTGAGGGGAGCCAAGATCCTAGAGTAGGAAGGTGAGCCAGCGGGCCTCCTAAGCCGCTATGGTGCCAGCACAGAGCTCTGCCTCACAGAAGGAGAGGGAGACTGCAGATGACCGGGTGGAGCGCCAGCTGACAATTCCGCTCCCAAGGGTGAAACAGTAGCCTTGGGAGGAGCGTCAGTCGGGTCTGATCATCAGCCCAGGAGGAGTCTGTGTAACCTTCCAGTCTAGGAGGAGAAAGCCCACCAAAGGTGAGGACATGAGACTTGGTGCCCCGCAGATAGCGCAGCACCTGCTTTGCCGCTTTCTAGTGAAGGTCAGTGAAGCGCCGAGGAGCCACATACCGAGAGAGGACACTGACAGGGTATGCCAGGTCAGGCCGGGTACACATCATGGCGTACATGAGGGACCCAACAAGTTCTGGGTATGGCTAAGTGCATGCCTCTGGTGTGGGTACAGCTGGAGTGGTGAGGAGGTGTTGCAGCGGCAGTGGGGTGGCCGTAGGTGTGCACAGCTCCATCTCAAAGCGCTTGAGCACATTGTTGATGTAGAACTCCTGGGAGAGTGAGATGGTGTGAGCCTGACGATCGCGAGTAATCTCCATCCCCTGGTAGTGTTTGAGGTCACCAAGGTCTTTCATCAAGAGGGCCTTGCTTAGGGCTGCCTGGACAGAGGTCATCTGGGCCGTGTCCTTGGCAACGAGGATGAAGTCATCGACATAGACAAGGATGTAGAATGGCTCAGAGTGACGACGAATGAAGAGGGTTGGGTCAGTTGAGGATGGGTGGAAGTCCAGTGAGAGAAGGACTTCTTTCACTTTGTTGTACCATTCACGAGGGGCTTGCTTTAGGCCGTAAACGGGACGATTCACCTTCCAGATAGTGTTGGGAGGGAACTCTCCTGGAAAGCCTTTAGGTCGATCCATGAATACAGTCTCCTTGAGGTGTCCTTGTAGGAAAGCCGAGGAGGCATCCATGGATTTGATCTCAAAGTCATTTCGAGCTGCCACATCCAAAAGTGTGCGAACAGTGGGTGGTTTGGAAGTGGGGGAGAAGGTTTTGAAGAAGTCAAAGTACTGCTGCTGAATGAACCCCTTAGCCACGTAGCGCGCTTAGAACACTGGGGCCTCGTCCAGTAGTTGTTTCAGTCGAAACAACCACTTGCCCCCAACAATGTTGACTCCAGGACGTGGAGTTTTGTCGTCGAAGGAGTGGTTGCGAGTGAAAGCTTCACACACAGCTCCCATAACAACACACCACTCAGCAGCATGTGGACCAGAGTGGGCCTCTTGGACGGTGAGAGGGATAGGGATGGTCGGATTCTCCGAGAAGTTGAGTGAGGGTGATTGAGTGATATCGGGAAAGATGTGCGAGAGCTGGGGAATGACAGCGTGAAGATCACACAGCTCCTCATGCCTGTCTTCCACAAGGGTAGGAGGCACATACCCTCCAGCAGGAGGAGGCGGAGTGATCAATGAGCATCGAATCGCAAGTGCTAGTGGAGGAGCAGCCCCATGCGACCGAGTGCCGTGAACCACCGGGGAGGAGGGTGGAGCGGGCGGCACTGGAGGGGTCGGTTTAGGGGGTTTGGGCGGAGGGATCGGTCGACGCTGGTAGGTGATCGATTCGGGCGGTCGTGGGAGAGTGGGTTCCTGAGTGGAAGGAGGAACGGATGGAGGAGGTGGGGCCATAGGGTTCGACCGCCGATGGTATGTGATTGGTGCACTTGGTGGTGGGAGCGCAGATGGTGGAGTGGGAGAGGGGAGAGATGAGGGAGCAGCTACCGGTGACACCGGTGAGGACGGGTCAGAGACCTCAGAGTGGGATGGTGCGATGGCAGGAGAGGTAGGAGGTGAGCGAGCTGGTGCAGGTGGAAGTTCAGGAGGTGCATCAAAGTCCGTCCACACAAGAGAGGGTGGTCCGGAGGGAAGGATCCCTTCCCGAGGAGGAGTACAAGGGGCGAGTCTCGTCAAAGACGACATCGCGGCTCCGGATTAATTGTTGAGTAGAGGGGTCGAGGAAGAGGTAGTCAGGGGAGTCGACGTTAAGCCCAAGATAGATGTTCGTTTCTGTTAGTGTTAGCTTTCAATCTCACACTTTCTACTTTGTATTTTCTATATCTTAGAGTAGTGTAGTTTGCACTTTGTGTTTGGTTGGGTGTACACCTACATCCCAACCAAACCCAAATGTAATCTCCAAGCAATCTCCAACCCACCAATTGGAGATTGCCTTGGGATTACCCCCAATCCCTAGGGATTGCCCCCGATTCCCTTCCCCATCCATTCGCTACCCTTCTTGGATGTACTTAAAGAGCTTCAAGCTCATTACTAATGCATCGCTTTTAAGCCTAAGTTTTGACATGGTATCAGAGCCATTCAACCGCACATGCGGATCGTGATCCTCTTATCTCTGCGGATGTTCGTAACCTCGGCATAACCACCTTCAATCCCGTCGCCGGTGATTCGCGACATTCGTGGGCGGAAATTCTCCCGCACCACTCTCCCGTCACTTTCGACGACATTCACTATTTCACTGGTAAGCGCATCGTCGATGCTATAACCTATCACTCGTTCTCGTCGAACGTTGTCGCGTTTATCTTCTCCTCGTCGGGCCGCCGCCCGTCGCCCCGCAGTTTCTCGTCGGGCCGCCGCCCGTCGCCCCGCAGCTTCTCGTCGGGCCGCCGCCCGTCGCCCCGCAGCTTCTCGTCAGGCCGCCGCCCGTCGCCCCGCAGCTTCTCGTTGGGCCGCCGCCCGTCGCCCCGCAGCTTCTCGTCAGGCCGCCGCCCGTCGCCCCGCAGCTTCTCGTCGGGCCGCCGCCCGTCGCCCCGCAGCTTCTCGTCGGGCCGCCACCCGTCGCCCCGCAGCTTCTCGTCGGGCCGCCGCCCAACGCCCCGCAGCTTCTTGTCGGGCCACCGCCCGTCGCCCTGCAGCTTCACCTTCGGGCTGCCGCCCGTCGCTCCGCATCGGCACTCCTACCCCCGTCCCCCCTTTTCCCGCAGCTGAATAGGTGTAGCAGCGCAGCCGAGCAGCAGCGTAGCCGCGAAGCTGAGGGTGGTGTGTGGGGGGGTGTGTGGGAATAGGATTAGCAGGTAGTTGACACTAAATTGGCGTTTCCATCAAATTCTCCTTCGTAAACCCTAAACCTCAAACTCTCTTCCGTAAACCCTAAACCTCCGGTTCTTCAAAATCTCCTTCGGAAACCCTAAACCTCAAGTTCCTATCGCTGACTTTAGAGCGGACACTAAGGGCTCCTCATCATGGCATTTGCCTCATCCACCATGGCCAACCCCATCACCCCACTCCGCCTTGAAGCCAATAGCTCTAGCTCCAACTTCAAGGTATGGAGCTATGTGGTTGACAAGCACCTCCTGAGTCGTGACGTGCAGGGATTGGACCTCAAGGACGTCCTCCTCAACCGCGGCAAGGGAAAACAGCCCCCAATCCCCCGTGTGCCGACCGAATCCACGAGTGATACTGACATGAGGGCGTACGAGGAAGCTGATGAGAAGTACCGAAAATGGGAGAAGGCCGATGCAGCTATCATCAGCGTCTTCATTGCCTCCACCCCTCCTGAACTTGTCAACATATTCCACAAATACCCTACCTCCAACGCCATCTGGAAGTACCTCCAGAATCGGTTCATGAACAAAACGGCGGTCGGAGTTGCCATTCTCATCCCCAGCATGTTCCAGGTTCGCCTTGAGGATTGCTTGGGAATGGCTGACTACATCGCCAAGGTGCAGACTATCCATGGCGAACTTAAGGAGCTGGGTATAGTCTTCCCCGAGCAAGCCCCTGCAGTCGCCCTTCTAGTTGGTCTCACCTCGGCATATGAGGTAACGAGGAAGATGCTTCTCACGCTCTCAGCAGAAGACCTCACCTTTGCTAAGGTCTCCTCCGCACTCCTCTCTGCCGGGAAAGACTCCACGGCTCAGGCCAAGGCTTACGCCATCCGCGCTCCCATGCCGCAAGGAAGTGTCGCCTCGGCCCTCGCCTCGGCGCCCTTCCAGCGCAACCGCTTCCCTCCGTGCACCTACGTCGTCAAGTATGGCAACCGCAAGGGACAAATGTGTGGCGGCACTAACCACCCCCTTGCGACGTGCTTAAAGAAGAAGGACGACGAATGGTATGCCATTCACAGAGTGGACAAGAAGTCGCCAAACTGGATGCGCTCCCGTAAGGCCAACCTAGTTGAGGTCCAGGACCCCGCTTTGGCTACTGCTAGTGATAGTGCTCCTGCTGATGTGCGTATCAACATGTTGTTCCCTGGCACTGCCATGATTAATGGAGCTACCTCCCAGTACATCGGCTCATCACAGACACCTCAATACATAGAGTTCACACTCCACAGCGGGGCCACCCACACTATGCTCAAGGAGACACTCTCCTTCAAACCCTACGCAACACTCATTCCTCTCTTGGGAGCTGACTCAAGCTTCACCAGTCTTGCCAACGGTACATCCACAGTCCCGTGCCCGGCCTTCCCATCCGGCACTGTCACTGGCATGTGCGTGCCTTCACTACGCCACAATCTCGTGGCTCAAACAGAAATTCAGGATGCAGGACTACGCACTATCTTCTCAGAGAACGAGGACCATTGCAACATCATCGATCCACTCACCAACAAAGTCTTGGCCCGCTTCACCCTCAATCACAGCGGCCTTTACACGCTACGCGTACCCCTCCCGCAGGCGTCAACCACCCAAGCACAGGCTACTGTCACACCATGCTCATGTCGCAGCCTCTCCAACCAGACCATCCTTTACCACCATCGGCTCGGGCACCCGAACTTCCGCACACTTGCTGACATGGCCTCCAAGAAACTTCTCTTCGGCCTGCCAGCAGCGCTCCCTCCACCACCTGACTCACCCGCTCCCACGTGCCTTGACTGCACCAAGAGCAAATTGCGCCAACAGCCCCATCCTGCCTCACCCACAGTCGCACCACCACCTCTGGACCTCGTGCACATGGACGTCTGGGGCCCTGCCCCTGTCCCAGACGAGGTGGCCATCACTACTTCCTTGTTATCGTGGATGATCACTCCCGCTACGTCTCTGTTCACCTCCTCCACACCAAGGCTGAGGCCCCGGAGGTCATCATGACGTGGGTCAAGCAGGCACAGACCGCCTTTGACCGCAAGGTCAAGCGCCTTCACTCGGATGGAGGGGGTGAATTTTGCAACGACAAGCTCAAAGCCTTCTGCTCTTCAGAAGGCATCCAGCAAAACTTCACCCTTCCCGACAGCCCGCAGCAGAACGGCATAGCAGAGAGCCGCAACCACACCCTGGTGCAGATCACTCGGTGCCTCCTCAGCCATTCCAATGCTCCAATATCTCTCTGGAGGTACGCCCTCTACCATGCCGCCCTCCTCTATAATCTTTACCCCCACCCGCATCTTCCCGACACCACTCCAACCACTCTTTGGCTCGGGAAAACACCTACTGCTCGCTCTCTTCGCGTCTGGGGATGCACCGCCTATGTCCTCCTCAACCCTCAGGCCCGGCGACAGCGCGGTGGCAAACTCGGTCCCAAGACTCAAACGTGCATCTACCTTGGACACAACGCCGACTCCCCTAACTATCTCTTCCTCAACCCCTCCACTCAGCAGTTAGTCCGGAGCCGCGACGTTGTCTTTGATGAAACCCGCCCATTCTACTCCACCTCGGGACCGGATCCTCCTTCCGATCCACCCTCTCTCGTGTGGGCGGACTTTGATGCGCACCCTGACCTCCCACCTGCGCCGGCCCCCTCCCCTCCTCCCTCTCCTGCCATCGCACCTTCCCCCTCAAAGATCTCTAACCCGCCCTCGCCGGTGTCTTCGGCGACTGCCCCTCCATCCCCCTTACTTCCCACTCCGCCGACTGTGCAGCCACCTCCGAGCGCACCTATCACCTACCATCGGCGGTCACACCCTCCGGCCCCGCATCCTCCCCCAGTTCCCCCTACCACAGAGGAACCCGCTCTCCCACAGTCGCCCGAGCTGATCACGTACCACCGGCGGCCCATTCCCCCGCCCAAGCCTCCTAAGTCAACCCCTCCGACACCGCCTGCCCCACCCTCTTCTCCGGGGCTCATGGCACTCGTTCGCATGGCACTGCTCTTCCACTGTCACTGATTCTTCGATGCACAGCGATCACCCCGCCTCCTCCTGCTGGGGGGAATCTGCCCTCTATCCTTCTTGAAGACAGGCATGAGGAGCTGTGTGATCTTCACGCTGTCATTCCTCAGCTCTCGCACATCATCCCCGACATCACTGAATCACCCTCACTAAACTTCGCGGAGAACCCGACCATCCCTATCCCTCTCACCGTCCAAGAGGCTGTCTCGGGTCCCCATGCAGCCGAATGGCGTGCTGCCATGGAAGCAGAGATTGAAGCGTTCACTCGCAATCACTCCTTTGACGACGAGACTCCACCTCCAAGAGTCAACATCGTCGGAGGCAAGTGGTTGTTTCGTGTGAAACAACTCCCAGACGAGGCCCCGGTGTTCAAAGCGCGTTACGTAGCCAAAGGTTTCACCCAACAGCAGTATCACGACTTCTTCAAAACATTCTCCCCCACATCCAAACCTCCCACTATTCGCACGCTCATGGATGTCGCAGCACAAGAAGACTTTGAGATCAAATCCATGGACGCCTCATCAGCTTTTCTACAAGGACGCCTCAAGGAGACAGTGTTCATGGACAGATCTGAAGGCTTCCCAAGAGAATTCCCTCCCAACACTGTCTGGAAGCTGAATCGCCCCGTCTATGGCCTTAAGTAGGCCCCTCGCGAATGGCACAACAAGGTGAAAGAAGTCCTTCTCTCCCTGGACTTCCACCCCTCGTCTGCTGACCCGACCCTCTTCATTCGCCGTCACTCTGAGCCATTCTACATCCTTGTCTGCGTCGATGGCTTCATCCTCGTTGCCAAGGACTCGGCCCAGATGACCTCTGTCCAGGCGGCCCTGAGCAAGGCCCTCCATATGAAAGACCTCGTTGACCTCAAGCACTACCTGGGGATGGAGATCACACGTGATCGCAAGGCTCGCACCATTTCCCTCTCCCAGGAGTTCTACATCAACAATGTGCTCAAGCGGTTTGAGATGGAGTTGTGCACACCTGTTGCCACACCGCTGCCGCTGCAACACCTCCTCACGGCCCCAGCAGTACCCACCCCAGAGGCCTGCTCTGAGCCATACCCGAAGCTTGTTGGGTCCCTCATGTACGCCATGATGTGCACCCGGCCTGACTTGGCATATCCTGTCAGTGTCCTCTCTTGCTACGTGGCCCCTGGGCGCTTCACTGATCTTCACTGGAAGGCGGCGAAGCGGGTACTGCGTTATTTCCAAGGCACCAAGTCTCACGTTCTCACACTCGGTGGGCTCTCCCCTCCTCGGCTAGAAGGTTACACTGAATCCTCTTGGGCCGATGACTAGACCGACCAACGCTCCTCTCAGGGGTACTGCTTCACCCTTGGGAGCGGAATGGTCAGTTGGCGCTCCACTAGGTCATCAGCAGTCTCCCTCTCCTCCTGTGAGGCAGAGCTCTACGCAGGCACCATGGCTGCTCAAGAGGCCCGTTGGCTCACCTTCCTACTCCAGGAGCTTGGCTACCCTCAGTCCACCCCCTGTTAGAATTAGGCTGTCAACACTTTGTGTACTATATTCTATATCGCGTAGGTTATTTGTGGGTTGGGTGTAGTTTGTGATCCCAACCCTATCTGGTTGGGATTCCCTCGTAATCCTGCAAATCTGCCAACTCACCAATTGGAGATTTGCTAGGATTCCCATACCATCCTTTCCCTAGCCTTGCCCATCCCAACCTCGTTTGTACTTAAGGCCTAGTTCCTTCTTTCTTAATCAATCAGTTCAGTTCCAATTCCGTCACCCCCACCCTCTGGTGTGACAACCAGAGTACCATCCACCTCTCCCAAGACCCTGTGTATCACACTCGCACCAAGCACATCGAACTTCGACACTTCTTCATCCGTGACCTTGTCCAGCGGGAGCAGCTGAACGTGGAGTACGTTGCATCTGACTGCAACCTGGCTGATCTGTTCACCAAGCCCCTTGGGAAAGTTCCTCACCACCGTCTCCTTGGCGCCATGGGGCTCTGTGCTCCACTTTCTCTGCCCTGAGTTCGATTGACGCCTATGGGGGGGTGTTAGTGTTAGCCCTCAATCTCACACTTTGTACTTTGTATTTTCTATATCCTAAAGTAGTGTAGTTTGCGCTTTGTGTTTGGTTGGGTGTACACCTACATCCCAACCAAACGCAAATGTAATCTCCAAGCAATCTCCAACCCACCAATTGGAGATTGCCTTGGGATTACCCCCAATCCCTAGGGGTTGCTCCCGATTCCCTTCCCCATCCATTCCCTACCCTTCTTGGATGTACTTAAAGAGCTTCAAGCTCATTACTAATGCATCGCTTCTAAGCCTAAGTTCTGACAGTTTCAGTTTTGGGGCCGAGCTTACCACCTTGCTATCGCCGAGCCTGAGGGTTGAGGAGGACATAGGTGGTGCACCCCCATACCCGAAGGGGGCGAGCAGTGGGTGTTTTCCCGAGCCTAAGTGTGGTGGGAGTGGTGTCGGGAAGATGCGGGTGGGGGTAGAGGTTGTAGAGGAGGGCGGCATGGTAGAGGGCCTACCCCCAGAGAGAAAGTGGTGTGTTTGAGTGGCTGAGGAGGCAGCGGGTGATCCGTGCCAACGTGTGATTGCGGCTCTCAGCGATGCCGTTCTGCTGCGTGCTGTCAAGAAGGGTGAAGTTTTGCAGGATACCGAGAGAGGAGCAGAGCGCTTTGAGTCTGTCGTTGCAAGATTCACCGCCACCATCCGAATGGAGGCGCTTGACCTTCGTGTCAAAGGTGGTCTGTGCCTGGTTGACCCACGCTATGATGGTCTCAAGAGCCTCAGCCTTAGTATGGAGTAGGTGCACTGAGACGTAGCGAGAGTGGTCATCAACTATTGCAAGAAAATAGCGATAACCGCCTCGTGCGGCAACAGGGGCACGGCCCCAGACGTCCATGTGCACTAAGTCCAGTGGAGCTTCTGCGACTGAAGGCGAGGCAGGGTGGGGCTGTTGGCGTAGCTTGCGGTTGGTGCAGTCAAGGCATGTGGGAGCGGGAGAGTCAGGTGGTGGAGGGAGTGAGGCTGGTAGGCCGAGAAGAAGTTTCTTGGAGGCCATGTCAGCGAGCGTGCGGAAATCTGGGTGCCCGAGCCGATAGTGGTAGAGGATGGTCGGGTTGGAGAAGCTGCGACATGAGCATGGTGTGATAGCAGCCTGTGCTTGGGTGGTTGACACCTGTGGGGATAGGTGCTCGCAGCGTGTAAAGGCCACTACTATTGAGGGTGAGAGCGAGCCAAGACCTTGTTGGTGAGTGGGTCGATGATGTCACAGTAATGCTTGAGCCACTAGATTGTGGCGTAGTGAAGGCACGCACATGCCAGTGATAGTGGCAGATGGGAAGGTGGGGCATGGGACAGTGGACGAATTCTTGGCAAAAGTGGTGAAGCTTGAATCAGCTCCCAAGAGAGGAATGTTTGTTGAATAGGGTTTGAAGGAGAGTGTCTCCTTGAGCACTGTGTGGGTGGCCCCGCTATCGAGTGTAAATTCTTTGTACTGTGGTGCATGTGGTGAGCTGATATGCTGCGAGGTTGCTTCATTGATCATGGCGGTACCAGGGATTAACAAGTTGATGGTTGCCGAGGCGAAGGCCATGGTGAAGAACCTCTTTCTCGCGCGAAATGTGTCTCTTAAGTCATCGATAAAAACTTCGGGTTTAGGGTTTACGAAGGAGAATTGCGAAGTAGGGTTCATGAAGGAGAATTTTGAGGAGAGGTTTAGCGATTTCGAAATCCGAAGGTCCCGAAGAGCGAAGAACGTCAGTGTTGGCCGCTTCAAGATGTCTCATAAAAGGTTTAAGGCCGACGAAAATAGGTTGAAACGGCCGATTTTGGTAGTGTCGACTAATTACTAACCCTGCTCCAACACACCCCCCCACACACCACCCTCAGCTTCGTGGCTACACTGCTGCTCAGCTTCACTGCTACATGGCTGCTCAGCTGCGCAGCTTCACCAGTTCAGCTGCGGGGTGATGGAACTGCCGTTGCGGGGTGATGGAAGTGCCGTTGCGGGGCGACGAGCGGCAGCCCGAAGGTGACGCTGCAGGGCGACTGGCGGCAGCCCGAAGAGAAGATGCAGGGCGACGGGCGGCAGCCCGAAGGGAAGCTGCAGGGCGACAGGCGGCAGCCCGACGATTGACGAGATGGGAAAAATTGGGTTACGTCGAAGCGAGAAGGGCGGCGGGACAAGTCCGCGATGATGAGGGAGAGCGACGAGAAAATGGTAGTTATGGTTACCTTAAGCGAGACGCATAAATCGGTGCCTCGTAACTGAAGAAAAGGTAGTGTGGGAGAGAATCTACCCACGAAAAATGTTGCGAATCAACGGCGAGGAAAGCGGCGCGGGAAAATTCCGACCGGGAAGAAGATTAGGTCGATGAAGGTACTTTACATCGAGTGATGAATGTTGAAGGCGGCTTCGCCCAAGGGTGCGGAAGAGGATTCCGCAAAGGTTAAAGGATCAAGATCCGCATGTGCGGTTGAATGGCTCTGATACCATGTTAGAACTTGGGCTTAGAATCCATACATTAGTAATGAGCTCAAGGCTCTTTAAGTACATTGGAAATGGGCAAGGTAAGGGTGGGGAGAGAATCAGGGGCAATCCTAGAGAATTGGAGGTAATCCCAAGGCAATCTCCAATCGGTGGGTTGGAGATTGCTTGGAGATCACATTTGGGTTTGGTTGGGATGTGGGTGTATACCCAACCAAACACAAAATGCAAACTACACTAACTTAGTATATAAAAAGTACAAGTACAAATGTGAGATTGAGGGCTAACATTAACACCTTCAACCAGAAACCACTCGCCCTCTTTATCCCTTCCGGCCATGCCATATCACCACCACAAATAGCTGCCGCTACTGCACTCTGTCTCGAGAGCATCCCTTTCACTTCACCCCCCACCACTCACCTGCTGTATCCCTTCCAGCCATGTAGTGTTTACCGCAAACCGCTGCCGCCGCTGCACCCTGCCTCCTCCCCACCTTTTGAGGCGCCTCAAAGGTCCCTCACACACACAGCATGCATTCTTTTCACCTTCTCCCCTCTACCCCGACTCACTCACCCGCCTGATCCCTTCCAGCCAAGCCGTGTCCACCACAAATCGCTGTCTGCGCTGCACCCTGCCTCCACTCCATCGCAGCCCCAGCCCCAGGCTCCACCCTCCACCCCCACCATCGTTCCTCTCAGTCACTGCACTGTTTGCCCCCGTGCTGCTGGTGGGGATGCTGGGAGGGGCAGGGTGGAGTGGAGAGTGGGAGGTGGGAAGTGCAGGGAGTGCAGTGTGGGGAGTGGGGAGAGGGAAGAGAGGGGATTCGAGGCGTGTCAAGACTTGCTGCTGTCTGCGCTGCACCCTGCCTCCTCCACTCCATCGCAGCCCCAGCCCCAGGCTCCACCTGCCATCCCCACCGTCACTCCTCTCTGCCACCGCACTGCTTGACCCTGTGCTGCTCGTGGGGATGCTGGGAGGGGGAAGTAGGAAGACGGAAAAGATGGGATTTGAGGCGCCACAGGACTTGCTGTCTGCGCTCCATCCTGCCTCCACTCCACCGCAGCCCCAGCCCCAGGTTCCACCCGCCACCCCCACCGTCACTCCTCTCTGTCACCGCACTGCTCGCCCCCGTGCTGCTGGTGGGGATGCTGGGAGGGGGGAGTAGGGAGACGGAGAAGATGGGTCTTGAGGCGTGTCATGACTTGCTGTCTGCGCTGCACCCTGTCTCAACTCCATCGCAGCCCCAGCTCCAGGCTTTATCCACCGCCCCCTCCGTTACTCATCTCTGTCACCGCACTGCTTGCCCCGTGCTTCTGGTGGGGATGCTGGGAATGGGGGGTGGGAAGTGGGGAGAGGGGAGGGGGTAGTGGGGAGTGGAACGTGGGAACTAGTAGGGAAGGGGGATGGACAGAGGGGAATGGGGAAGTGAGGAGTGGAGAAGTGGGGAATGGAATGCCGACCGAAAAACAAACAGGGAACTATCAAGAAAAGAAAGCAGGGAACCAACAAGAATTGCAAGCAGGGAAGCTAAGCAGTGGTCGCCAGCAGCCCAGTTTCTGAGGGACAGGGCACGGGGCACTGGCCAGAGGGCACAGGGCACAGAGGGCACAGAGGGCACAGAGGGCACAGAGGGCACAGAGGGCACAGAGGGCACAGAGGGCACAGAGGGCACAGAGGGCACAGAGGGCACAGAGGGCACAGAGGGCACAGAGGGCACAGAGGGCACAGAGGGCACAGAGGGCACAGAGGGCACAGAGGGCACAGAGGGCACAGAGGGCACAGAGGGCACAGAGGGCACAGAGGGCACAGGGCACAGAGGGCACAGAGGGCACAGAGGGCACAGAGGGCACAGAGGGCACAGAGGGCACAGAGGGCACAGAGGGCACAGAGGGCACAGAGGGCACAGAGGGCACAGAGGGCACAGGGCACAGGCCAGAGGGCACAGGGCATGGCAGCAGCAGCGCACTTACAGGGAAGTGTGTGGCCCTCCTCCAGGGTAAGCCATCATGCCTCCTGCCTCTGCCACTCCAGGAAAATCCCCACCACCAGCACTGACACCAGGCAGAGCAGCGAAATCTGCAGCACCAGGAGCAGCAGCAGCCGCACCACCACCACCCCTGCCAGCAGCGGCGGCAGCAGCAGCCAGAGCAGCGGCTCTAGCTCGTTGTGCCAGTGCCTCTATCTCACTGCTGCTGCTCACGAAGGTGGTGAGCGAGGTGGAGAGCGAAGAGGGGAGGGACGAGCGGAGCGAGGAGGTGAAGGAGGAGGGAGGGAGGGTGGGAGTGTGGGGAGGAGGAGCGAGTGTGGAGGGCTGTGAGATGGAGTCTGGTTCGGTGGGGGCAGCTGTAGCAGAGGAGGTGATGGTGGGGAGGGTCGAGCGGGCAGATGAGGGTGGAGGGAGACGGGCAGACCTGTGGGTGCGTGTAGGGGCAAAGGGGAGAGGAGAGGGAGGATGGGGGATGAGAAAGTAAACGGAGTGTGGATGGGGGAGAGAATAAGAGGGTTCATTGGGGCCTGTAGCAGAGGGGGGTGATGGTGGCGAAGGGCGGGCGGACAGATGAGGGTGGAGGGAGACGGGCAGACCTGCAGTTCGGTGGAGGGAGGTGGAAAGGGGTGGAGGGGGGTGAAAAGGCTGAGATAGTGGAGGAATGGATGGAAGGGGTGATGGCACGTGTGAGTGGGAGTGCAATGCTCACAATGCTAAAAAAGGCTGAAGCAGATTGCATGCAGAGTTTATGAACGGACAGAAGAGGCCAGAAGGAGTGGGAGTGGGAGTGGGAGTGGGAGTGGGAGCGGGAGTGGGAGTGGGAGTGGGAGTGGGAGTGGGAGTGGGAGTGGGAACGGGAGTGGGAGTGGGAGTGGGAGTGGGAGTGGGAGTGGGAGCGGGAGTGGGAGTGGAAGTGGGAGCGGGAGTGGGAGTGGGAGTGGGAGTGGGAGTGCGATGCTCCCACGACGTTCATTCCACCTGTCTGTAGTACAGACACACGGCCTCCACACACGCACACACGTTTCTTGGGTCGACTCAGAACTCGTCGCATTCCACCTGTCTGTAGTAAACAGACACGGGGCCAACACACACTCACTTCTGTAGGTTGGTCTTAGAGAATTCGTAAAATTCAACCTACATAAGAATGAACCTCCCATGACGTTCGTTCCACCTCTCAGTAGTACAGATACACGGCCTCCACACACCCACACATCCCCCCCACTCCCACGCACACATCCCCCCCACTCCCACGCACACATCCCCCCCACTCCCACGCACACATCCCCCCCACTCCCACGCACACATCCCCCCCACTCCCACGCACACATCCCCCCCACTCCCACGCACACATCCCCCCCACTCCCACGCACACATCCCCCCCACTCCCACGCACACATCCCCCCCACTCCCACGCACACATCCCCCCCACTCCCACGCACACACCCCCCCCACTCCCACGCACACATCCCCCCCACTCCCACGCACACTCTGCCCTCAAAGTCCGACACCAGAGCATCCAGAGTCTCTTCGCGAGGAGTTCGCTCCCACCAGGAGTTCGCTCCCACCAGGAGTTCGCTCCCACTTCCCTGTCATGATGACTCAGGACACTACTCTTCCCTTCACACTCCCAATCACACTCATACTCTCTACCCCTCACCCCCCCCCCCCCCATGCATACCCTGCTCTCAAAATCCGTCCTCAGAGCATCCAGAGCCTACTCCCAAGCAGCCTTCCATGGAACAGGAGAGTGTTCCCCTAGCAGCCCGTTCCCCTTCCACTGCCATGTGCAAGGCAGCGCACACTCTCCGTCACACTACCCTGTACACCAAACCCCCATTCACACGCACACTCTGCTCTCAAAGTCCGTCATCAGAGCATCTAGAGCCCGCTCCCCCTCCAATGCCATCACGCCACACTCCCCCTCACACTCCCCCTTTCAAACCCCATTGACCCAACCCACCCCTTCCCCCACCACCCCGCTTCTCTCCCCTCCCCCCTCCCCCCCCCCTTTTCCCCACGCACACTCTGCTTTCAAAGTCCGTCATCAGAGCATCCAGCGCCGATTCCCGAGCGGCCCGCTCCCCCTCCACCCCCGCTGCCAGCCCCTCCAGCTGCCCCCTCATGGCTGCTTCTGCTGCTGCCTTCTGGCCCACCACCGTCTGGAGCGGGGGGGGTGCGGAATGGGAGTGGACGGAGGAGAGATGAGACGCCATCTCACACCTCACCGCCTCCGCCGCTGCCTTGTTGTGCCACCACCATCTGGAGAGAGAGAGGTCAGGGGAGTTTTTAAGTCGACTCAAAAGGGTGACTTTTGAGTCAACTCTGAGGCTAAGTTGGAATATACGCTACTTTCATTTTGCGTTTTGCGTTTATACTCTTATCGAATTCGTACGCTGCGTATAGTTTGAAAATTCACCGAGTTGAATTTTGGGCAGACCGAAAAAAAACAAAACAAAATTTCAATCTGAAGCTCGCAACGTGGCGATCTCATTTCCGAGTCGCAGATGTCGCGAAATGATCTCAATTTTTGAATTTCGAGCTCCAAACCTCAGCAACCCCTCCCCTCCACCGTTACACACCCCTATTAACCACAGCATTCCACCATCCCCTCCAACTGCTACTTTACTGGTTGGGTGCTCAACCCAACCCAATCTCCCAGGCATAAAGGGAGGCATTTGTTCACTCGTCATTCATTCTCTCGCTTCCTATTCTAGCTACCTCCCCTCCCAAACCACCATGGCTTCTACTACTCCTACAGCAACAACTTCTCGTTCGCCACACTCAGAGGCTCCTAGTAGTTCCGCTGGAGGGACCTCTTCTGTTACTGCTCTGGTCTGAATGGACAGCAAGCACCCAGTCTACCGCCACTTCATGGTGCCGGCTGATAACGTGGGGGAGAACGGCACCAAGGTGTGTGCCTACTGCAGCTTCAAGTTTGTTGGCGGGACGTACCGCTGCGCGCAGCATATCACCAGCTGGACGGGCATGCGCCGTCGTGAAGTGCATCTCTGCACTGAAGCGCCGAAGACTGCACGGGACGCCGTGAAGGCGGTTTACGAGAACAAGTTCAAGGCCCGTGAAGCAAAGCGTGCGGCTGAAATTGCGGCGGTCGGCGCAGTCAATGGCGGTTCCGACAAGAAGAAGACGCGGATGACCGACTTCTACGGCGACGACGCCGCGTGCGCGAAGCAAGCTGCGGACGAGGCGCTTTGCCTGCTCTTTGCCGCTCTTCATATCCCGGAGCATCACGCGGACCACCCACTCTGGCGGAACGCAGTCTCCAGCATCGCGCGCGCGGGGACGGGTTACGTGCCGCCAAAGAGACGCTACATCGGTGGCGCTGGTCTTGCAAAATGCCGCCAGCGCATTGAGGCGGCACTCGATCCGATCGCTGCAAGTTGGCGTCGTGACGGCGTCACCGTTGCAAGCGACATGTTCTCTGACAAGGCCGGCCGCCCGCAAGCCAATGTGCTCCTCATCAACGATAGCGGAGCCGTGTTCGTGGAGTCGATCGACACAAAGATGGAGATGAAGACCGGCGGCTACATCGCGGACATCTTGCGCCCCGTCATCGAGAAGGTTGGCGCGGAGAATGTCGTCGCCTTTTGTTTTGACGGCGGCTCCAATTACGCGGCGGCCTGCAGGGAGCTGATGACGGAGTATCCCCACATCGAACACATCCCTTGCGCGACCCATGTCCTTGATCTCCTGATGGAGGACATCGAGAAAATGGGATGGGCGAAGGACATCGTCACACGCGGGGACACCATCATCTCGTTCGTCCGCAACCATCACTTCACCCGCGGCTACATGCGGAGCAAGCTCGTGAACGGCAGCAATAGGAAGCAGGTTCTGAAGCCCGCGGGAACCCGCTTCGGCACCAACTACATCGCCATCAACCGCCTCTGTGAAGTGCGCTCCGGCCTGACGCAGATGGTCCTCAGCGATGAGTGGCTCGAGTGGACGACGGCTGCAAAGAGGGTTGGGGCAGATACTTTCAAGAGCAACATCCTCGATGACACGTGGTGGACGCGTGCGGAGTTCTTCGCGAAGCTGATGAAGCTTCCGTTCGTTGTCATGCGCAAGACGGACTCGGATGCAAAAGGCATGATGGGTCGACTCTACGACCTCATGCTCCAGCTCACCGAGGACATCCGCGACTTCCTCGACGAGCACGCAAAAGGGGTCCTGACAAGGGGAGAGGTGGGAGATATTCGGAAGATCGTGCAGGACCGCTGGGACAACGGGCTGGCGTGCGACATGCACGTGGTTGGTCGCATCCTCAACCCCACCAACCAGGAAGAGGGCATCTTCCGCCATGACCTCGAGTGCACGAGGGTCTTCAAGAAGTTCGTGTCCAAGCACTTCGACGACCAGACCATCATCAGGAAGGACGGGGTCGAGCGCCGTGCCTCCCTCGTCATCCAGGAAGGCCTCACTGCCTTCCTAAACCTGACGGGCTGCTTCGGCATGCCCGACGCTATTGCCGACCGTGCGGCAGTGAAGGAGGGCAAGATGACCGCGGTGGCCTGGTGGTCGTGGCACGGGACCGAACATCCCGAGCTCACCACGCTTGCTTGCCGTATGCTCACGCAGCCGGTGTCCGCGTCACCATGCGAGCGGAACTGGGCGAAGTTTGATGCCGTGCATACGGCACGCCGGAACCGTCTCGGCGCGGAGAAGCTTCGGGACCTCGTGTACGTGACGCACAATTGGCAGGTTGTGCACAATTGGCACAAGCTCCCTGAAGGGCAGGGGGTGGTGAAGGGAAACATCGAGGAGCCCCCCACTCCGGCTGGCTACAACGTCGAGGAGGAGGTGGAGGAACCTGAGGAGGGGGAGGATGATGTGATGGCCGATGAGTACTAGTGGATGGAAGGCACCATACATGTGTGGGGGGCAGGGGATCAATGGTGGACCTGTGTGGAGTAGGGGGAGGGAGGGGTGGTAGTAGCATGATTAAGGTGGGGGAAGTAGAAGTGGCAGATTAGTTTTAATGGTTTTTTTTCCTGTAACTTTCATATTAATAAAAAGGGGATGGGGGTTACAACACCCCCCCATCCCCACCTCTTACCCCAAAAAGCTGCCCGGGAAAAACTTTTTTCCTGCCCGGGCAAGCGTATTCTTGTGCGTACCAGACCCCACATGGCCTGCGTTTTGCGTATATACTCTGGCGTATATACAGAATCGTACAAAACGCAAAACGCGTTTTTTCCAACTTAGCTCAGAGGTTAGGGGAGGTTCGGGGGAAAGAGGAGACTTTTGAGTCGACTCAGAGGTCAGGGGAGGTTGGGGGGAAAGAGGACGGGGAGGGGTTGGTTTGCACGTTGCTCTGCTGCCAGCCCCTCCAGCTGCCCCCTCATTGCCGCCTCCGCTGCTGCCTTGTGCGCCACCACCGCCTGGAGGGGAACGGGGGGAGGGGAGAGGAGGAGCGGGGTTGAGGGGGATGGAAGAAAGGGGCTTGAGGCGTCTCACAACTCGCCGGCCTCTCAAGCTGCCCCCTCACGGCCGCCTCCGCCATTGCCTCGTGCGTCACCACCGCCTGAGGGTAGAGGGCAAGGAGGTGGGGAGGGGGGGGTTGAACTGCAGAATAGCCAAGGAGAACGAGGGAGATGGGGGAAGAGGGATTGCTGATGTAGCGCCTGTGGGCTGTGTTGATGGGCATTCCGCTGTGCCAAATAACACCCTCGTTTTGACCCAGTAGGTACGAGGTGTTATATCTGACGAGATGGCTGCTGTGGCTCAAGGCAGGGAAGGTGGTGTGAAGATCCGGGCAAGGAGGGGAGCAGCGGAAAAGGACCACGCTTGCGAAAAGCGTGCATCTCGCATCTTTCGTATGTTTGCATTTTCGCACTTCGCATTTCCGTATTTCGCATTACCATTTCGCATTTCGCCAAAAAATGCAGCTCTCGAGCGCGCGAACACTCACCTGGAACCACGCGCGTTTCGCCTCCATGTCTGAAAGGTTCCCCTCCAGCTCCGCCTGTTGCTTTTGGGAACCATGCGCAACTCAAGTGGAAGCACTCACCTGAAACTGCGCCCACTTTTTTATTCACCTGAAACTGCGACCACTTTTTTTTTCACCTGAAATGTCGCCCACTTTTTTATTCACCTGAAACTGCGCCCACTTTTCTATTCACCTGAAACTGCGCCCACTTTTTTATTCACCTGAAACTGCGCCCACTTTTTTATTCACCTGAAACTGCGCCCACTTTTTTATTCACCTGGAACTGCGCGCACTTGGCCTCCATGTCTTGAATGTAACTCTCCAGCTCCGCCAGTTGCTTCCTAGACCATGCACAAAGTAAGTGATTCAGGATAAGCGCGCTCACCTGAAACTGCGCGCATTTGGCCTCCATGTCTTGAATGTAACTCTCCAGCTCCGTCAGTTGCGCCGCCGTCAGCACCACCTGCTTGCGCGCGCTCGACCCGCCCGCGTCTTTTCCGCCGCCCTTCTTCCGCCAGTGCAGGCCACCCATTGCGGAGACGGGCTTGCGCGGGGTCGCAGCGCAGCGCGGCCGGAGCGAACAAACGGTTCTGGCCTGGGCGGTTGAATCCGGAGTTGTACAAACGGTTGTAGCCGGAATGGAATAAACGTTTGTAGCAGGAGAGGTATAAACTGTTGACGCCCGGATGGAATTAACGGTCTAGCCTGCTACGACCGTAAACCGGGGTGTCCAGAGCTACACGTGCACACAGAGAAAAAACGAAGCGGCGTGAGGCACCCGCAGATGGACGGTGGCGATGGAGATGTCGGTAAATGTACAAACGGAGAAGCGTATAGCGAAAGGCCGGCCGACTAGGTCGTGTGAACGCTGGTGATCCAGTTCTTTTCCTCTAGTGTTCGAGGAATTTATCTCTAACTACCATGGTGAGAGCAGCGTGCACGTGGAAATCCCAAGGCCCGCTGATTGGAGATTGGTACGCGGTAATCCCAAGGTGAACTTGTTGCATTTTGCCCTCACAAGCGCACTCGCACTGGCAATCCCAATCCCCGTTGCAAGGACAAATCTTGTCAGTCACACAACGAATCCGCTTCGCCCGAATACTATCAGCCTCACTGCCACTCTACAGAGTGGTGGGTGTTTAGACGTGGACAGGTTAACGAAGTGAATACAGTTCATTGTTTCCAAAAACGTTATAAACAGCAGAAACATGTTTAAATTCCAGTCAATACCCAATCTACAAGCACAGAAAGCTAACAAACTAAAAAACGACAGAAAACAAGAGGCAAAAAGCGAACATGTAATAACAAAGTAAAGACCCATGCCAAGCCAAAGTCCACGAAGCAGTCTTCCTTCCAGTCAACTCAACTCGTAATACTGGTATCATTCCAGCCTCCTCCTTACGTATATGTACACGTCGTGTTATTATCAGCCTCACAGCATCTCCATCAAGCACCAACCGACGAAGACTTGCTCATTTTCGGCCACCAATCCAGCAGGGACCCAGGCGCGATGCTCCAATCAGGCGTAAGGAACTCCCCTCCACCCATCTCCCACCCCTCCAACTCCTCCTCTTTCCCCTCCCCTCCCTCCTGCACATCCAGCTCCTTCCCCAGTTCGCCCAGCTGAGAGGAAGAGAGACTAGCAATGGGCAGCACACGCACAATACGAAGAATGTCCGTAAGGCTCACCACCCCCTGTAAATGCATCTCCACACTTCCCCCACCCACTCCTCCTCCTCCAACCCCTCCCATAGGCGACCCAGCTACACCTTGTAAGAGGCTAGCAGCAGCAAGTCTCGCCCCCTCTTCTCCTCCTGCTACAGCCGGACCCTCGTCCGCTACAGCCGGTTTGTCCTCTTCTATAGCCGGCAGCACTGTAGCAGCGTGCGGCTTCGGCTTGCCGTTGCCAGCATGACCCTGGTCTTCTAGGTTGTCCTTGAAGATGCTTGTAGAGGGGATGCGAGGGGAGGGCATGGGCGAGGGCTGCTCCTGCTGGTCCACCACCCACACGCGGTGCACCCTCTCCCTCACCATGCGGTGCAGCACCCGCCTCAGACTCGTGTTGCTGTAAGAAGGGAAGGGAAAAATGAGGTAAGTCAGGGGAATGAGGGAGAGAGGAGATGAGAAGGGCCAGTGTAGGTCCACCACACCACCCAGGTGACTTTTGAGTCGACTCAAAAGGGCCAGTGTAGGTCCACCACGCCACCCACACTACAGGTACACTCACCATGCGATGCAGCGCACCTTCTGTAGTTCCGATGCCACCTAGTGCAGTTATGTGATATCGGTAACGCTCGGCTGGCGCAGGTGACAACTGGTGCAGTTGACAGCTGGTGCAGGAGACAGCTGGTGCAGGTGATAACTGGTGCAGGTGACAACTGGTGCAGGTGACAACTGGTGCAGGTGACAACTGGTGCAGGTGACAACTGGTGCAGATGACAATTGGTGCAGATGACAACTGATGCAGATGACAACTGGTGCAGGTACGACCTATCATGCTGTCACCGGGAGCAGATGATGAGGTGGCGGTGCCATGTGCCCCTGAGCGCTCAGAAATTGCCCCATGGTCATTGCTCTCTAAGGTTCTCAAACCCCTCGTTACCCACCTGTACCGCACTCACCAGGTAAAGGTACCTTATACAGCGTGCTTCTTTTTGCTGCTACCACTACCCGTAACGCTCACCGAGTGCACGTGATGAGGTGGCGGTGCCATGTGCCCCTGACAGCACAAAGGAGCTGCCCCAGGGTGAGGCGATAACTGATGCAGGCACCACCTGGCAATGCAAGTCACTCACCGAGTGCACGTGATGAGGTGGCGGTTCTGTGCCGTCCTGACAGCGCTCAGGAACTGACCCACGGTCACCTCCCCCAGGTCCTCAAACTCCTCCTCACCCACCCGCACCGCAGTCTTCTTCGCATGGTGACCCTTCCTCTCCTTCCCCTTCTTCCCGTGCTTCCCCTTCCCCTCTTCCTTCTTCCCCTCTTTCTTCTCCTCCTTTAACCCCTCCTGCCCCTTCTTCCCCTCCACCCCCCCTTCCAGCACGTGAATGCAGCGCACGTCAGAGGCGGAGAGAGTGTCGATCAGAACCTCGCCGCACGCGTGGAAGCCGGAATGGGGCTCAGACGCATGTGCAGCCACCACAGGGAGTGCAGTGACCTAAGGAGGGAGAGGGAAAGATAGACAGGAGCACATACAGCAGCACGTCAGAGGCAGAGAGAGAGTCAATGGGGACCCCCCCGCTGGCGGGGATGCCTGAGTGGGGCTCGGACGCATGTGCCACCACCACTGGCAGTTCGGTAACCTGATGGAAGGGGGAATGATATAGAGGGGAACAAGAAGAGCACGTCAGAAGCAGAGAGAGAGAGAGAGAGTCAATGAGGACCCCCTCGCAGGCGGGGACGCATGTGCGGACCGCCCACCACAGGCAGCGCAAAAAACCTGACAGAGGGGGGTGGATGGGAAGAACGGTGGATGGGAGGAGGGAGTATCGATGAGCGTTCCCGCCTAGAAAAAATAGTTTTGAGATCAAATCAGCACACGTATGGAGGGCTGAAGGTGCCTCCAACAGACACGTAGCTCTGAACAGGGAGGGACACACAGCCCCGCACCAGCTCTGAATCAACAGCTCTCTCAAAAATCAACTCTCGCTCTGTTGAGAGAGCTGTTGATTCGCAGGGAGGGACGAGAGTTGATTTTTGTTTGACTGTTTTGTCTTGCTTTTTTTTTTTTTTTTTTTTGGTCCTAAACCAAAGAAGCACATTCACTCGCAGTGGCAGGAGCACTGCTGCTGACGAGGGCTTTAAGCTAAGCTGAAACGGACCTGGTGGCGCCTGAAGAGGCGGAAGGCGTGCAGCAGAGTGTCAGACGGCGTTATGGTGACCACCAACGGCCACACCAGTCCCAGATCATCCACCCTGCAAGTAAACGAAGGAAATGGGAGGGGTGTTTGGAATGTCAGAGGCCGTTATGGTCACTACATTACAATCTGTGACAGCACACGATACTCCTCGCCCACCACACCTGCAGTCACACGAATAGACCACCACCCTTTCTCCCCTCTTCCGCCTTTCCATTCCCCACTTCCCACCTCAACCCACTCACCTCTTAGCCAGCGCCAGCCCCATCAACCCTTCATGCGACAGCAGGAACGTAGCGACGTCCATCTGGGACAGCACGCGATACTCCTCGCCCACCACGCCCCCAGTCACCTGAACCAATCACCACCCAACCCTCCCCTCGTCTCTCACACTTCTTCTAATCACTCACTTCTTAGCCAGCGCGAGTTCCATCTGCATGAGCCCCTCGTGTGACAGCAGGAACGTGGCGACGTCCATCTGAGACAGCACGCGATACTCCTCGCCCACCACGCCGCCCGTCACCTCGCTGTGCACCGCCAGAGGCATCGGCGGCACTGCCCACACCGCAGGTACCACCAGCACCACAACTCCCTCCCCTTTTCCTTCCCACGCACCTCTCCCCACACTCACTTCTTAGCCAGTGCAAGCCCCATGAGCCCCTCGTGCGACAGCAGGAACGTGGCGACGTCCATCTGAGACAGCACGCGATACTCCTCGCCCACCACGCAGCCCGTCACCTCGCTATGCACCGCCAGAGGCATCGGCGGCGCCGGCACCACCGCCGCTCCTGCTCCCTTCCCCTCCCCCTCCCCCTCCCCGTCACCCTTCTCCTCCTTCTCTGCGCGCCTCTCCGCCAGGGAGGTGGGCTTGGGGGGAGGCTCGGTGAGAGGGAGCAGGTCGTGCTCGCCCGGGCAGATGTTGGGCACGAGGCCGCGATGGAAGCCGCCCGCGCCTAGCAGCAGCATCGCCTGCCACACACTGGTGCAGGGGAAAAGGGGGAAGTATAGGGGACGGGGGTGGAGGGTGGAGAGGCATGGTTGAATGCGTGCAAGTGGAGCAGGTCGTGTCGTGCTCGCCCCTACAGACAGAGGTGGCAGTTCTGACAGCGGGAATGGCGTCGGTGAGGGGGAGCAGGTCGTGCTCGCCCGGGCAGATGTTGGGCACGAGGCCGCGATGGAAGCCGCCCGCGCCTAGCAGCAGCATCGCCTGCCACACACTGGTGCAGGGGAAAAGGGGGAAGTATAGGGGACGGGGGTGGAGGGTGGAGAGGCATGGTTGAATGCGTGCAAGTGGAGCAGGTCGTGTCGTGCTCACCCCTACAGACAGAGGTGGCAGTTCTGACAGCGGGAATGGCGTCGGTGAGAGGGAGCAGGTCGTGCTCGCCCGGGCAGATGTTGGGCACGAGGCCGCAGTGGAAACCCCCCGCGCCTCGCAGCAGCATCGCCTACCACACACTGAGAGGGCGCGCAGGGGTGGAGGAGGGGGAGAGGGCAGAGAGGGGGGAGAGGAAAAAAAAGAGAGATTTTTTTCAGCGTCTCAAAAACCGCCCAGAAGCCACTGGCAATGCTGATCGTCCTCAGCACGCCCTGTTACACATTCACAAGCCGCAGGCTTATTTTTCGAAACGTCTCAGAAAATGTCTCCTTACACATTCAGAAGCGACAGCCTCGCTTGATTCTACCCTCCCTTCCTCCTCGCTCCCTTGCTCCCTCCCTCCCTCCCTCTCTCTCTCTCCCTCTCTCCCTCCACCCTACCCCCCCTATTTCTCTCCCTTCCCCCCTCTCGTGCTTGCCTACCTGGCATGGGGATCCACGACGACCATCTGACGTGTCTCCTCGGATTTGCCCATGACGTCAGCGACCTTCACGTCGCACAGGGTCTTCGCCACCATTTCGCCGTCGTCGCCACGCGCGCCCTTGTTACCATCCCACTCCGCGAGGAAGATCGCCACGTCCACCACCGAAAGCTGCGAGCGAGGGCATGCGGGGAGAACGGGTGCAGAAAAAGCAGCGGCGAAAAAAACAGGGGTGGAAAAACCGTGAGGGAAAAAACAGGGGGGGAGAAATTTAGTGGCGGAAGGAACGGGGGCAGAAAGAGCAGGGGCGGAAGGCGCAGGGGCGGAAAAACAGACGCAGGCGGAACGGGGGGGGGGTAAGGGGGGGGAACAAGCGGAGGTGGAATGAAGGCGGGAAAAACAGGGCGGAACGAGCTTGAGCGACAGGCGACGACTCACCATCCGACGAATCGCATGGGCGACAAGCGACGACTCACCATGCCGATGAATTGCACGCGCGACGTGCGAAGACGACTCACCATGCCGACGAATCGCATGGGTGACGGATGCACCATGATGGACTGCAAAGCTTGGGGCTTCTTGAGCGACGGCTTCTCGGTTTGGTGCGGTGCAGAGAGGCGACGGTTGCGCACGGGCATCGACGTCACGTGGTGCTCCTGAAACAGCTTCAGCGCTGTTGTTAACGAGTCGTCGGCATCGACTGTAACGAGCGTCCTCTTACCGAGGACGAGCTCCTTCACTTCAGACAACTTGAGCACGCGAGCCATGACGATTAAATCAGTCAAACCAGTCAAACGAAGCTGAAAACGATGATGCTTCGACGTCAAACGATGCAGAACGCGAATCGGAATCTAATTTCAAGCCACTAGAGAATAGGCGCTCCAAAATATTGTTCCCGCTTTACTAGCATATGCTCTCTCACAGAAGCGGCTACAACACAAGAACGAATCCAAGGAACAAACGGCGGAAAGTAGAAAACGGAGCAGAAAGAAGGACCCACAGCAATCAAATACGTAACAGCAACAAGAAACTGAAGAGATTCACAACCCACTATCAGCCTATCTTGGCCCCCCTGGCTTCCGCGCCGCATCGAGCAAATTCCGCCTTCCACATTTTCTTGGCCTGGTGTGCTTGATGTTTTGCACCCATTTCGATAGAGATGAGTGGGTGCAAGGCGCATGCGAAGCTGGTAACCTGCTGTGCGAACTTAGAGCGCCGCGCAACCTCGTGAAACACAGTGCAACATGGTCTCGTCCAGTCGCTTATACTTTTCGTCAGCCCCTGTCCCGGGAATGAATCTGTTGCAAAAGCCAATTATTTTGTGCCCGAATGTCAACAGCACCTCCTGCCAGAAATGCATAGGCTGCCCCACGCCCGGAACAGAGATTCGAAACAGTGGTCACCGAAAGAACTGCCGGGGAAATTGCGCCAAATCGGTCAGGGCGGGTGGGCATCAATCGTTGATGATTGTGCTTTTTGCATGTGCTGGCAGCTGCCCGCCAAAAACCATCCGGACATGGATGAGGCCTGGGAGTCGGACACGTGACGCTGACTCGGATGGCACAAGGAGATGGCACAGCTGGAAGAGTTGCTGACGCTAGAATTCCTATTTCTGGCGTGGCGTTCTGAGGCACCCAGATGAATCAGGATCACTCTCAAACACTAAGAAATACAAATAAACGAGTTCAGTATACTTGGGCACAACAGTTAAAGATTAACAATTCAGTTCTTGAAGCTCCTTACTCATAACTGGCGATCTGAAGTAGTGTTAGTAAAAAAAAAACCAAAAAAAAACGTCAAAAAGAAACATGTTAGATAGCAAGAAATTGGAGGATAAAAAGATGGATTCTAGAAAAAGAAGGGAGGGGGTTGTGGGGAGGGCAGGGGGAGGGGGGAGGGGGGGGGGGGGGGGGGGGGGGAAGGGGAGGGAAGGTGGTAGCGGGGGTGGGTGTTAGACCATACTGAAGGCTCCTAGTCAACTCACCTTTGACAGTAGGCTTTCGTTTTCCGTCTCGTATTTCCTCTTGAGCTCTATGAATTGCGCCAAGGCAGCCTCCATCCAGACCTTATCAGCCCGTAACTGTGTATATGATACAAGGCACGTGCAGGCAGCACACAAGGTAAAGAAAATGGAAGAAAAATACATGGCTCAGTAACACAATCCATTCATTTTCAGAGAACTATTTCTTTGCATCTGCCACACCTCTTCCACTTCCCACCCATGCAATGAACCCCAAAACCTCAACCCAACTTACGTGACTCAACCTTTCAGCTCCCACACCCACCCAACCTCTCACATCCCACCCTTCCCCACCCTTCCCCACCCTTCCCCACACCCACACCCACACCCACACCCCCCCACACTCCCCACACCCAGTCACACTCCCCACACACCCTCATAGCCCCGTTAACCTGCTCCAGTGCTGCAGCAGATTCTGCTGCTCTGCCACATGCCCTCGTACTCCTGATGGCACGGGTGGCATCTGATGGCATCATCCCACACCCTAAAACTCCCCAGTACCCCTCAGAACCCCTCAGAACCCCTCAGACCCCACAACTCCACACACCCTCGTAGCCCCCCCTAACCTGCTCCAGTGCTGCCAGCTGTTTCTACTGCCCTACCATGGCCTGCCACATGCCCTCGTACGTACTCCTAATTGCATGGGCGACATGTGGTGGCATCATCCCACAATTCCCTCAGACCCCCTTAGAAACCCCCAGAACCCCTCAGAACCCACAACAACCCGAACCCCACCTGCTCCAGTGTTGCCAGTTGATTCTGCTGCTCCGCCAAAGTCTGACACATGGTCTTGTACCCCCAAACCCCCAAGTACCCCTCAGAACCCCTCAGAAACACCAACGACCCCCCCTCACCTGCTCCAGTGTTGCCAGTTGATTCTGCTGCTCTGCCAGGGTCTGACGCATGGTCTCGTACTCCTGATGGCATGGCCGGCAAGTTGGGCGGCAAGGGCGGCAAGGTGGCCGACATGGAACGGAATGTGTGGCACAGGTGGTACCAGTGGCATGGGATGGCATATGGAGCACGTAGTATGGGATGCAGAGTGGAAAGAAAGTGGGGACATGAAGGAACGTTGGGGAAGACGAGTAGGTGCGACTTATAACAGACAAGTGCGAAATTGCCTCACCATCCATCATACACCATGCATCATCCACCATACGCCATCCTCCATCCACCATACACCATGCACCATACACCATCGACCATACACCTTACACCATACACCATCCACCATCCACCATCCACCATCCACAATCCGCAATCCGTCCGCCATCCGCTATCCACCATCCACTTGTGCTGCCACCATCTCCCCTTCTACCCCTCCTCACGCCCCACATATGACACACACCCTCCTTACCTTTCTAGACACCTCCATCCACACGCCATCCACCATCCACTTGTGCTGCCGCCTCCCCGCCACCCCCCAGTCAGCCACTGTTGACAGCGGCAGCGGTGGGCCTGCTGATGTGCCTGCGAAGAAATCCCACAGGCCCGAGGGGCTGAGGGGAAAGAAAGGGGGGAAAGGGAGAACGGGAGAGGCAATTAGCCGTCACTGAGAGTGGCAGCGGTGGGCTCGCAGACGTGCTTGAGGAGAAGTCAAACAGACCCGTGGGGCTGGGGGGGGAGGGGAGGGAGGGAGGGGCAGATTGGTGTGTAACAACGCACCATTAATAACCCAAACCGATCAAGAGCAGGGCACATGTTCCTTCTGTGAACAAAAGGACTATGCTGCAACAAGCATCCTGCCTCCTTGCTTGTTCGTGCTTCAACGAGCGTGCTTGGCTCCAAGGAGCGTGCTTGGCTTCGAGGAGCGTGCTTGGCTTCAAGGAGCGTGCTTGGCTTCGAGGAGCGTGCTTGGCTTCAAGGAGCGTGCTTGGCTTCGAGGAGCGTGCTTGGCTTCGAGGAGCGTGCTTGGCTTCGAGGAGCGTGCTTGGCTTCGAGGAGCGTGCTTGGCTTCGAGGAGCGTGCTTGGCTTCGAGGAGCGTGCTTGGCTTCGAGGAGCGTGCTTGGCTTCGAGGAGCGTGCTTGGCTTCGAGGAGCGTGCTTGGCTTCGAGGAGCGTGCTTGGCTTCGAGGAGCGTGCTTGGCTTCGAGGAGCGTGCTTGGCTTCGAGGAGCGTGCTTGGCTTCGAGGAGCGTGCTTGGCTTCGAGGAGCGTGCTTGGCTTCGAGGGCAGGTGCTTGGCTTCAAGGAGCGTGCTTGGCTTCAAGGAGCGTGCTTGGCTTCAAGGAGCGTGCTTGGCTTCAAGGAGCGTGCTTGGCTTCAAGGAGCGTGCTTGGCTTCAAGGAGCGTGCTTGGCTTCAAGGAGCGTGCTTGGCTTCGAGGAGCGTGCTTGGCTTCGAGGAGCGTGCTTGGCTTCGAGGAGCGTGCTTGGCTTCGAGGAGCGTGCTTGGCTTCGAGGAGCGTGCTTGGCTTCGAGGAGCGTGCTTGGCTTCGAGGAGCGTGCTTGGCTTCGAGGAGCGTGCTTGGCTTCGAGGAGCGTGCTTGGCTTCGACGAGCGTGCTTGGCTTCAAGGAGCGTGCTTGGCTTCAAGGAGCGTGCTTGGCTTCAAGGAGCGTGCTTGGCTTCGAGGAGCGTGCTTGGCTTCGAGGAGCGTGCTTGGCTTCGAGGAGCGTGCTTGGCTTCGAGGAGCGTGCTTGGCTTCGAGGAGCGTGCTTGGCTTCGAGGAGCGTGCTTGGCTTCGAGGAGCGTGCTTGGCTTCGAGGAGCGTGCTTGGCTTCGAGGAGCGTGCTTGGCTTCGAGGAGCGTGCTTGGCTTCGAGGAGCGTGCTTGGCTTCGAGGAGCGTGCTTGGCTTCGAGGAGCGTGCTTGGCTTCGAGGAGCGTGCTTGGCTTCGAGGAGCGTGCTTGGCTTCAAGGAGCGTGCTTGGCTTCGAGGAGCGTGCTTGGCTTCAAGGAGCGTGCTTGGCTTCAAGGAGCGTGCTTGGCTTCGAGGAGCGTGCTTGGCTTCAAGGAGCGTGCTTGGCTTCGAGGAGCGTGCTTGGCTTCGAGGAGCGTGCTTGGCTTCGAGGAGCGTGCTTGGCTTCGAGGAGCGTGCTTGGCTTCAACGAGCGTGCTTGGCTTCAAGGAGCGTGCTTGGCTTCAAGGAGCGTGCTTGGCTTTGAGGAGCGTGGAACTCACAGGGTGGCGTCGTGAGGAATGACAGTGCCGCCGCCCTTGTGCGCCGGGCTTGGGCTCCCTTGCTTGCTCGGGCTAAATCGATTCGTGGCACGCCTCTGCTCGGGGCTGCTTCCACTGCTCTCTGATTGGGCTGCTGGTCCTGCTCTCTCTGTCGTACCTGCCCCGCCCGCCCCTACACCAGACGCCCCCGCACCACATGCCCCTGGCCCACCTGCAACACCTGCCCCTGCCCCTGCACCTGCCCCTGCACCTGCCCCTGCACCTGCCCCACCAGCTGCCCCACCACCTGCCCCACCACCTGCCCCTGCACCACATGGTTCCGAAGGCTTTCTCTGACCCTGCTCCGTGTCCATGTACAGCGAAGGGGTGGATGCAGAGAGGTGCTGAGACGAGGCAGAGGTGGAGGGAGGGTGGGCGAGGGACCAGGCAGAGAGGGAGTGGGAGAGGGAGGAAGAAAGTGAGGAGGAGAGAGAGGACGATTGAGAAGAAAAGGTCGGGGAGGAGATGAACTGAACAGGCTTAGGTGCTGCTTGTGCTGGTGCTGGTTCTGTTCCTGTGGCTGCTCCTGTGGCTGCTCCTGGTGGTGCTCCTGGTGCTGCTACTGGCGTCGTTCCAGCAGCTGCGGTGGGTGCTTCCGAGCCGGCATGCAGCATGTGAGCAGCACGGCGGGTCAAGGCCTCTAGCTGGGAGTCGTGCCATGCGAAGGCCTCAGCTGCTGCCGCGTCCACTGATGCATACGGCTCACTCGCCCTGTGGAAAGACATGAGGTGAGAGAGGGAGAAGGGAAGGAGCATGCAGCATGTGAGCAGCGCGGCGGGTCAAGGCCTCCAGCTGGGAGTCGTGCCATGCGAAGGCCTGCGCTGCTGCCTCGTCCACTGATGCATACGGCTCACTCGCCCTGGCAGAACGAGAGGTACAAGGAGAGAGAGAGGTGGAGGGGTGTGTCACTTGGTCACACACATGAGAGGCATGCAGTGAGGATCGAGATGACCATTTTGGAAGCACATCAGGAACTTTTGAGGCGCCTAAAAAACATCTTGTGAGGCGCCTAAAAAAAGAAATAAAGAATCTTAGGCACCTCAAAAGGCATGCAATGAGGATCGAGATGACCATTTTGGAAGGATATGATAAAAGGTGGGTCAGGGGCAATAGAAATGGCAGGGAGACAAGGAATGAGAGAGTGAGGAAGGGGGGCAATGAGAAAGAAATGAGAACAAGAGGACGGAAATGATGGGAGAGGGAGAAGACATTAACACGTGAAAAGCACGTGTGAGCGTGTATACTCACGCAAAATCGCGTTTCTCCATCCCCGTTATAAGCGTCTTCAGTGCAGCGTCCCGCGCAGCCCTCTCCCGTGCTGCCTGCTCTACTATCCCTTCCACCCGCTGCCGCTCCTCCTGTAGCTGCTGCGCCTTGGCCGCTAGAGCACGCTGGGATGGGGAAGAGGAAAAGAGCGAAAGAGGGAAAGAGGGAGAAGAGGAAAGAGGCGGGCAAGACGGGGAAGGAGGGGGAAGAGGATGGAAAAGCTGCTACACCATCCTCTCTACCTGCTGCCATTCCTACTGCAGCTGCTGCACCTTGGTTGCCAGAGCACGCTGGGATTGGGAGAGAGACAAGCAGGGGAGAGACGGGAGGAGTTCTGCGGCGCCTCAAAACTTGCTGAGCCTTGGCCGCCAGGGCACGCGGGAATGGGGAGAGAGGGGAGCAGTGGAAGGCACGTGGGGAGATTGAGTAGGGAGAGGATGAAGGATTGCATATGAACAAGCTATTTGAGGCGCCTATAAAACACGGACAAGCAGGGAGCAAAGGAGAGCAGCGCAAGGGATGGGGGATAGCATGGATGGATGGAGGGAGTGAGGAGGGAACGCACCTGGAACCTTCCACAGACGAACTCCATGCTGGTGATATACGACCCTAGCTCCCTCACTTGCTCCTTGCCTATCACACACACTTCACTTCCTTGCCTCCTCTCCTCCTCCTCCCTAGCTCTGCTCTCCTCCTCTCTCGCCTTCCTCTCCTCCAATCTGGCCCGCTGCTCCCTCACTCTCGCTCGCCTCTCTCGCTGCACCACTCCCTTCCACTGAGCACCCAGCGCCTTCACTCTCCCTATCCACTCCACCGTCCTCCTCCCCCACTCCTCCTCTCTCGCTTGCCATTCCTTCTCTCGCTCCCTCCACTCCTTCTCTGCCCGTTCTCTCGCTGCCACCTCTCCTCTATCCTCATCGTCACCTCCTTGCTTCGCCACCACTTCATCTTCTCTCTCCTCGCCCTCCTTCCCCTCCTCTTTCCCCCGATTCGTCCCCACCTCCTCCCCTACGGTTTCCTCCGATTTCTCTTCCTCCATCCTCCCCTCCTTCCACTTCTCCTCAGCCTCTTTCAACTTTCTCTCTCTTTCCTCCAAATCATCCATTAACCTCTTCCTCTCCATTTCCAGTTGATTTCTCACTTCCTCCTTCTCTCGCTCCACCTCCTCCCTGACTCTCTCCCTCTCCTCCCTCACTCTCTCCCTCTCCTCCCTCACTCTCTCCCTCTGCTCCCTCACTTCCTCCCTCTCCCTGTCCACATCTGCCAGAGCTCTCTCCCTCTCTTGTTCCACCTCTTTCCTCACTCTCTCACCCTCTTTCTCCCCCTCTTCCCTCACTCTCTCCCTCTCCCTATCAACTTCCTCAGCCAACCTTCTCCTCTCCTCCACCCACTCCGCCTCCCTCCTCTCTCTCTCCCTTTCCCTCTCCCTCTCCCCTTCCTCCACTCTTCCCTTCCACATCTCCTCAATCTGACTCACCAGCACTTCCATCCCACACCTCTTCTCCTCCCACTCTCTCCTCATCTCCCTCTCCTTCTCCTCCCACTCCCTCCTCACTCTCTCAACCTCCCCTTCCACCTCCCTCCTCTCCCTCTCCATCTCCCTCACTCTCTCCTCAATCTCCCGCAACCTCCGCTCAGCCACAACCCTCTGTTCAGTCTCCACCTGTCTGGATACCACCTCCCTCCGGAGCTGCTCCCGAACCTGCTCCAGCTGCTCCCTAACCAGTTCCACCTCCTCCCGAGCCTTTTGCCAAGCCTCCGACACCTGTTTCCAAGCCTGCTGCCTCACTCTCTCAACCTCCTCGTTACCCTCCTCCCTAACCCTCTCAATCTCCTCCCTACCCTCCTCCCTAGCCCTCTCCACTTCCTCCCTACCCTCCTCTCTAACCCTCTCAACCGCTTCCAACCCCTCTCCTGCAACCCTCTCTATCTCCTCTTTTAAGCTAACCACTGTTCCTTCCAGCACTATTCGTGCCATCCTGCCCTCCTCCTCTGTCCTCGCTACAAGCATCTTCGCTTCTTCCACAAGCCCTGTCAACTCATTCACCTCTTTGCCCCTCACTTCCAACTCCTCCTCTTTCCTCGCTAAAAGCATCTTCGTTTCTCCCACAATCCCCATCAGTCTCTCAACCTCTTTGCTCCTCTTCTCTACCTCCTTGCCCCTCATTTTTAACTCCTCCTCTTTCCTCAATACAATCATCTTCGTTTCTTCCACAACACCCATCAGTTCCTCGACCTTTTTGCCCTTCTCTTGTACCTCTTTGCACCTCACTTCCAGCTCCTCCTCTTTTACTCTTAGCTCCTCCCTCTGCCTCTTCACCTCCCTCTCCTTCTCCCTCACCTCCTTCTCAGCCTTCCCAAGCCTCTCACTCACTCCCTCAATCTCCACCTCCAACTCCCTCACTCGATCCCCCACTCCCTCCCTCATTCTCTCTACCTCCTCCTCCAGCGCTACAACCTCCTCTCGTGCAGCTTCCGTTTCTGCAACAGCCGCCTTCCTCGCAGCTTCACTCTCTGCTACAGCCACCATCCTTGCAGCTTCAGCTGCTACAGCTGCCTTCCGTGCAGCTTCAGCTTCTGCTACAGCCTCCTGGAGCCTTTTGTTGACCACGTCAGCATCAGCTCTTGCGGCGTCAGCCTCCGCCCTCGCAGCGTCAGCATCAGCCCTTGCCATGTCAACATCAGCCCTCGCTGCGTCAGCATTAGACTGGACAAGCGCTGTAATCTCCTCCTCCATCTGTCTCCTCACTGCTTCGCCTTGCCCCTCCTCTCTCCCCACCTCCTCTTTAACCACTTGCACCCTTACCCCTTGTCCTGCTCCTTCCTTTGCTAGACTCTCTTTCAGTCTAACCAGCACCCCTCTCCACCCATCCCTCTCCCTCCTCACCCCTTCCAACTCCTCCTCTCGCTCCCTCACTCTCTCCTCCAGACCACCCACCTCCGTCATCAACCTCATCCTCTCCCCCTCACTCTCCTCCCACTCCCTCTCCACCTCCTCCATTCTCTTTCTCACTCGCTCCACCTCCTCCTCTCCCTCCCTCAGACTCCTCTCCTCTCTCAACCGCTTGACTAACATCTCCATATCCCTCTCTACATTACCCCTTTCCCTCTCAGCCTCCTCTCTCCTCTCCTCAGCCTTTTCCATCTGTCTCTGTAGCACACTCACTTCCCCTTCCATCTCCTCCACTCTCCCCCCCATCTCCCTCACTCCCCTCAACCCCTCCTCCAGCTCCTCCCTCACACTCTCCCTCTCTCTCTCCACCTCCTCCCTCCTCCCCCTCTCCTCCTCCACCCTCCTCTCTGCAGCCCCAACCCTCTCAGATAACACCTCCCCTTCAGTAGTAAGAACCTGCACTCTCTCTCGCAGCTTCCTTGCTTCTTCCTTCAATTCCTTGCACTCTCTCACAAGCCCTTCCCTCTCTGTCTTCAATGCAGAAAGCTCCTGCACTCTTTCACTCAGCTCCTCACTCGCTTTCACGTTTTTCACACGCTCACTCTCACACTCCTTGCTCAACCTCATCCTCTCCCTCTCTCCCTCTTTTCTCGTCTTCACACTCTCCCTTTCAATCTCCCTCACTCTCTCTTTCAAACCCGCCACCTCCTTTTGTAGACTCTCCTTCGCTTTAACCACACGTGCCAGCTCAGCATCCAAGCCACGCCTCGGCTTGCGCTCCTTTTCCAGCTCAGCATAGAGCCATTCCACCTCACCAGCCAGTCGTTCCACCTCAGCAACTAGCCCCTCCATCTCCCTCACTTTCCCCTCCATTTCACACTGCACCACTCCCACTCTCTCCTCCCATTCTGCCCTCTCTCTCTGCAGCACCGCTATCTGCTGCTCCTTCTCTTGCACACACGCCTGCAGCGCTACCACCTGTTGCTCCTTCTCCTCTCCATCCCTCACCTTAACCTCCAACACTTCAACCGCTCTCAGCATCTCTTCCTTATCTCTCTGCAGCACCGCTATCTGCTGCTCCTTCTCTTGCACACACGCCTGCAGCGCTGCGACCACCTGTTGCTCCTTCTCCTCCCTATCTCTCATCCTCACCTCCAGCTCTTCAACCACTCTCAACACCTCTGTTTTCTCCTTCTGCAGACGTGCAACTTCCTCAACCCTCGCAGCTATCTCCCTCTCACTCCTCTCCACCGCCTCTTTCTCACGCGCAACATCCATCTCTCTCTCCCTCACCCTCACCTCCAGCTCTTCAACCGCTCTCAACACCTCTGTTTTCTCCTTCTGCAGACGTGCAACTTCCTCAACCCTCGCAGCTATCTCCCTCTCACTCCTCTCCACCGCCTCTTTCTCATGCGCAACATCCATCTCTCTCTCCCTCACCCTCACCTCCAGCTCTTCAACCGCTCTCAACACCTCTGTTTTCTCCTTCTGCAGACGTGCAACTTCCTCAACCCTCGCAGCTATCTCCCTCTCACTCCTCTTCACCGCCTCTTTCTCACGCGCAACATCCATCTCTCTCTCCCTCACCCTCACCTCCAGCTCTTCAACCGCTCTCAACACCTCTGTTTTCTCCTTCTGCAGACGTGCAACTTCCTCAACCCTCGCAGCTATCTCCCTCTCACTCCTCTCCACCGCCTCTTTCTCACGCGCAACATCCATCTCTCTCTCCCTCACCCTCGCCTCCAGCTCTTCAACCACTCTCAACACCTCTGTTTTCTCCTTCTGCAGCAGGGCAACTTCCTCGGCCCTCGCAGCAATCTCCCTCTCACTCCTCTCCACCGCTTCTTTCCCACTCGCTGCCATCCTCCCTCTAGCCTCTTCCCACTCTTCCCTCTCTCTCTGCACCATCAGTATTTGCTGTTCCTTCTCTTGCACAAGAGCCAATACCTGCTGCTCCTTCTCTTTCACTCCTGCTTGCAACACGGATATCTGCTGTTCCCTCTCCTCAACTCCTGCTTGTAACGCAAATAGTTGCTTATCCCTTTCTTCAACTACTGCTTGTAACGCGGACATCTGCCTTTCCCTCTCCTCTACTCCTGCTTGTAACAAGGATATCTGCTTCTCCCTCTCTTCTACTCCTGCTTGTAACGCAGCAGCTTGCATCACACTCTCTTCCACTTGGCTCTCCAGCACTTTCACCTGCTGCTCTTTCTCTCCTACACCTGCTTGTAACGAGAATACCTGCTCCTCCTTCTCATCCACACTCGCCTGTAGTGCCCCCATTTGCCGCACCTTCTCTTCCAAATCATCCTGTAACGAGGATACCTGCTTCTCCCTTTCCTGAACACTTTTTTGAAGAGTCCCAACGTCCTTCGCCCTCTCTTCCAACTCAGCTTGTAACGAGGATACCTGCTCCTCCTTCTCACCCACACTCGCCTGCAAAACCCCCATTTGCCTCAACTGCTCTTCCTTATCAGCTTGTAACAAAGATATCTGGCCTTCCTTCTCTTGCACACTTGCCTGTAGCGCCCCCATTTGCATCACGCTTTCTTCCAAGTCAGCCTGTAACGAGGATACCTGCTCCTCCTTCTCCTGCAGACTTGCCTGCAGCACTCCCATTTGTTTAACCCTCTCTTCTAATTGAGCTTGTAACGAGGATACCTGCTCCTCCTTCTCCTGCACACTCGCCTGCAGCACCCCCATTTGCTTCACCCTCTCCTCCATCTCTGCCTGTAACGAGGATATCACCACCTCCTTCTCCTCCACACTCACCTGCAACCCACTCACTTGCCTCACCCTCTCCTCCAACTGACCCTGTAACGAGGATACCTGCTCCTCTTCCTCCTTCACACTCGCCCGCAGCACCCCCAATTGCTTCAAACTCTCGTCTATCTCGGCTTGTAACGAGGATATTTGTCCTTCCTTCTCCTGCACACTCGCCTGCAGCCCACTCACCTGCCGCACCTTCTCTTCCAACTCAGCTTGTAACGAGGATACCTGCTCCTCCTTCTCCTGCACACTTGCCTGTAACACTCCCATTTGCCTCACCCCATCTTCCAGCTCAGCTTGTAGCGAGGATACCTGCCCCTCCCTCTCCTCCACCCTCGCCTGCAGCCCACTCACTTCCCTCACCCTTTCTTCCAACTCAGCTTGTAACGAGGATAATTGTCCTTCCTTCTCCTGCACACTCGCCCTCAGCCCACTCACCTCCCTTACCTTTTCTTCCACCTCTGCTTGTAACGAGGATGCCTGCCCCTCCCTCTCCTCCACTCTCGCCTGCAGCCCACTCACTTCCCTCGCCCTCTCTTCCAACTCAGCTTGCAACGAGGATATTTGTCCTTCCTTCTCATCCACTCTCGCCTGCAGCCCACTAGCTCGCCTCACCCTCTCTTCCACCTCGCCCTGCAGTGCATACACCTGCCGGCCCTTCCCTTCCACTGCCGATTCCAGCACCAGAATCTTTGCATCCCGCACCAACACCATCGCCTCTTTCTCCCGCACAGTACCCTCCTTTTCCGCCAAACGTGCACGTACCACCTGCATCTCCTCCCTCTCCTTTCGGAGATCATCAAGAGCCTCCTTCAGCTGCTGCCTTCCTTCCTCCAGTTGCCGCCTCCCCTCATCCACCTGTGCTTCCAGCGCTGTTACCTGCTCCCTCTCCTTTCGAACCTCCGCTCGAGCCTCCTCCAACTGCTGACTCTTCTCCACCAATTGCCGCCTCCCCTCCTCCACCTGTGCCTGTAGCGCTGCCACCTGCTCCATCGCCTTTCGACCCTCCTCAACACTCTCCTCCAACTGCCTCCTCCCCTCCCCCATCTGTGCTTCCAGCACTGCCACCTGCTCCCTCGCCTCTCTCAACGTCTCACCAGCCTTTTCTTGCATCACTGCGCTTTCCTCTCTCAACACTTCCATCTCTCCCTTCAACACTTTAATCTCTTGCTGCTTTCCGCTCATCTGTGCTTCCAGCGCTGTCACTTGCTCCCTCGCCTCTCTCAACACCTCGCCAGCCTTACCTCGCATCACTTCACTTTCCTCTCTCAACACCTCCATATCTCCCTTCAACACTTTGATCTCCTGCTGCTTGCTGCTCACTGCCTCAGTCAAGAGCAGAACTTTCTTCTCTTTGTCCTCCAGACTCTTTTCCATTGCCCTCAACTCGCCCTCCTTCAATTCCAACTCTGCCTGCACGCCTTTACTCTCATCCTCAGCTGTCCTCAACTCGCCCTCCCTCTCCCCCAATGCTGCCTGCAGGCCATTCCTCTCCTCATTTACAGCCCTCAACTCTCCCTCCTTCCAATCTAATTCTGCCTGCATGCCCTTCCTCTCATCCTCCATTGCCCTCAACTCGCCCTCCTTTCGTTCTAGTTCTGCCTGCACGCCCTTTCTTTCCTCCTCTACTGCCCTCAGCTTGCCCTCCTTTCGTTCTAATTCTGTCTGCAATCCTTTCCTCTCCTCCTCAACAGCCCTCAACTCCCTCTCCTTCCACTCCAATTCTGCCTGCACGCCTTTCTTCTCATCCTCCACGGCCTTCAACTCGCCCTCCTTCTGTTGCAATGCTGCTTGCACGCCTTTCCTCTCCTCCTCAACAGCCCTCAACTCTCCCTCCTTCCATTCCAATCCTGCCTGCATGCCCTTCCTCTCATCCTCCATCGCCCTCAACTCGCCCTCCTTTCGTTCTAGTTCTGCCTGCACGCCCTTTCTTTCCTCCTCTACTGCCCTCAACTTGCCCTCCTTTCGTTCTAATTCTGTCTGCAATCCTTTCCTCTCCTCCTCAACAGCCCTCAACTCTCCCTCCTTCCATTCCAATTCTGCCTGCATGCCCTTCCTCTCATCCTCCATCGCCCTCAACTCGCCCTCCTTTCGTTCTAGTTCTGCCTGCACGCCCTTTCTTTCCTCCTCTACTGCCCTCAACTTGCCCTCCTTTCGTTCTAATTCTGTCTGCAATCCTTTCCTCTCCTCCTCAACAGCCCTCAACTCCCTCTCCTTCCACTCCAATTCTGCCTGCACGCCTTTCTTCTCATCCTCCACGGCCTTCAACTCGCCCTCCTTCTGTTGCAATGCTGCTTGCACGCCTTTCCTCTCCTCCTCAACAGCCCTCAACTCTCCCCCCTTCCATTCCAATTCGGCCTGCACGCCTTTCCTCTCATCCTCAACTGCCCTCAACTCATCCTCCCTCTCCCCCAGTGCCGTTTGCAGCTCCCCTATCAACCGTGCACTCTCCCCGTTAGACTCCTCCAAATTCCTTTTCAACCCCTCTACCTCCCCCGTCAACCGCTTCACAGCCGCATCCTTCCCCTCCATTCCTCGCACCAACTTCGCCACCTCGCCTTCCTTCCCCTTCGCTTCGCCCCTCAACTCCACCATCACCCCTTCCAACTCCTCCAACTTCCCCTTCAGCTCCTCCAGATTCTCCTCCTTTACTTTCAACTCCCTGATCAGACTCGCCACCTCACTTTCTTTCTCCTTCACTTCACTCTGCAATCCCTTCAGAATCTCCTTCTCCGTTAACTCTCCCTTCAGACCCACCACCACCCCTTCCAGCTCCTTCAAAACCTCTTCCTTCTCCTTTAACTCCCTCCTCACACCCACCACCACCCCTTCCAACTCCTTCAAAGCCTCTTCCTTCTCCTTCAACTCTCCCCTCACACCCACCAACACCGCTTCCAGCTCCTTCAAAGCCTCTTCTTTCTCCGTCAACTCTCCCCTCACACCCACCAACACCGCTTCCAGCTCCTTCAAAGCCTCTTCCTTCTCCGTCAACTCGCCCCTCAACCCCACCACCGCCCCTTCTTTCTCCTCCACCTCCCTCTTCCACCCCACCAACACCTCCTCCCCTATCTCCCTTTCTTTCTCCACCACCCACACTCTCTCCCTCGCCTCCTCCCTCTCTCGCTTCACCCTCTCAACCTCCTCCCTCCCTCGCTCCACCTCCTCCCTTCCCTCCTCCACCTGCTTCTCCAGCTCAACCACTCTCGCCTGTAAAACATCTCCCTTCTCCTTCAGTTCTGCTAACGCCGCCTGTGAAGCAACCTCCTTCGTTTCCATCTCAACCACTTTCGCCTCCAAAATATCCCTTTTCTCCTTCAGTTCTGCTAACGCCGCCTGTGAAGCAACCTCCTGCCTTTCCAACTCGACCGCTCTCGCCTGTAAGACAGCCCCCTGCTTCTCCACCTCTATTAATCTCGCCTGCAGAACAGTCTCCCTGTTCTCCAGTTCAGCAACTCTCGCCTGCAAAGCACCCTCCTTCTCCTCCACCTCCCTCTCCAACTCCACCTCTACTAATCTCGCCTGCAGAACAGTCTCCCTGTTCTCCAGTTCAGCGATTCTCGCCCGTGAAATGACCTCCTCCTTCGCCAACTCAACCACCCTCTCTTTCCTCGCCTCCAGCTCAAATTTCGTATTTCCCAGCTGGTAGACCACCTCCTTCCTCTCCTCTTGCACAGACTGCACCCTTTCCTCCAGCTCAGAAACTCTCTTTTCCAACTGACATACCGCATCCTTCCTCTCCTGCAGCTCGCAAACCCTCTTTTCCAGCTCACACACTACCTGCTTCCGCTCCTCCTGCACAGACTGTACCCTTACCTCCATCTCAGAAACCCTCTTCTCCAGCTCGCACACTCTCTCTTTCCTCGCCTCCAGTTCAAATTTCGTATTTCCCAGCTGGTAAACCACCTCCTTCCTCTCCTCTTGCAGGGAATTCGCCCTCTCCTCCAGCTCAAATACTTCCTTCTCCAACTGACACACCCTCTCGTTCTTCTCCTGCACCTCGCGGACCCTCTCCTCCAGCTGCCCCACCACCTCCTTCCTCCCCTCTTGCAGGCACCGCACCGTCTCTTCCAGCTCACAGACTCTCTTCTCCAGCTCACAAGCACTCGTCTCCAGCTCGCACACTCTCTCTTTCTTCGCCTCCAATTCAAATATTTTGTTTCCCAGCTGCCCCACCACCTCCTTCCTCTCCTCTTGCACAAACTGCACCTTCTCTTCCAGCTCAAAAACTTTCTTCTCCAGCTCACACACTCTCTCTTTCCTCTCCTCCACTTCACACACGGTCTTCTTCAGCTGCGCTACCGTTTCCGCCCTCTCCCCTTCCACCTGCCGTACCCTGTCTTCAAGCATCTGCAACCGCTCATTCAGTCCCCTCACTGTCTTCTCCAGCTGTCCCACCATTTCCTTCTTCTCCTCCAGCTCGCGTGTCCTCTCCTCCAACTGACCTACCGTCTCTTCCCTCTCCCCTTCCACCTGCACCACCTTGTCTTGCAGCGACTGCACCCTCTCCTCCAATTCATTCACTGTCTTCTCCAGCTGCCCCACCGTTTCTCTCTTTTCCTCCAGCTCGCGTGTCCTCTCCTCCAACTGACCTGACGTCTCTTCCCTCTCCCTTTCCACCTGCACGACTCTGTCTTGAAGCAATTGCGCCCTCTCCTCCAGCATCGACCGCTTCTCCTTCTCCCCCCTCACCTCTGCCTGGCTTGCTTGCAGCCTTGCCTCCCTCTCCCTCTTCACACTTTCCAGCTCTTCTTTCAGTCGCTCTAACTCCTCTTTCACTTCCTCCTTCTCCCTCCGCATCACCTCAATCTGCCTCTCCAATTCCTCCTTCTCGCCCTTCACACCTTCCAATGCTCCTTTCAACCGTTCCAGTTCCCCGTTCAACTCCTCCTTCTCCCTCCGCAATCCATCAATCTGCCTTTCCAATTCCTCTTTCTCCCTCTGCCATTCCTCCCTCTCTCCCTTCAATCCTTCCATTTCCCTCTCTATCTCCTCCCTCTCCCTCTCCTTCCCCTCCACCTCCCTCACCCTCTCCCTCATCAACCCCTCAAGCTCCCCAATCCTCCTCTCCCTCACACCCAATTCCTCCTCCATCTCTCTCTCCCTCTTCTCTCTCCTCCCAATCTCCTCCTCCAATTCCCTCACCCTCCCTTCCCTCTTCCTCCCCTTCCTCTCGACCTCCTCCCTCTCCCCCTCCTTCGCCTCCACCTCCCCTCTCAACGCACTCACCTGCACCGACAACTCCTCCATCTCCCCTTCCACCTCCCTCACTCTCTCCTCAAGCCTCCTCACCTCCTCCTCTCTCTCCCTCACTCGCTCCTCCCCGTCCCTCACTTGCTCTTCCAGCTGACCCATCCTCTCCGATTCAGCCGCCTTGGCTGCTAGCTCCGCTCGTTTCGCAGCTATTCCAGCCTGCAGCACTGCAACCATATCCCCAAGCTCTCTCACTTCCTCCTCTAAACCCTTCACCTTTTCCTCTTTCTCTCCTCGCTGCTTCTCTAGCTCACAAGCCTTCTCTCTGAGCTCCATAACTACTGCTTCCAGCCTTTGAATCGCCTCTTCCTTCGCTTTCATCTCTGCCTCTCGTTCCGCCTCTCTTTCAGCCGCCTCTGCAGCTTGCCTCCTCTCCTCTTCCTCCCTCTCCTTCCTCTCTTCCTCCCTCTCCCTCTCCTTCACCACATTCTCCTCTCTCCTCTCCGCTTCCATCCTCCTCCGTTCCTTCTCAAACTCAACCCTACCTTCCTCAATCCTCCCCTCCAGCTCTCTAACCCTCGCTTCCAACTCACCAGCACGTACCTCCTTGTAGCGAATCTCTGCTTCTATCGAGGATATCCTCGCCTCTCGCTCCGCCAAAGCAGCCTCCAGCGTTCCCACCTTCCCAGTCTCCTCAGTCAACGCAGTCAACAATGCCACCTCACGTTCCTTCAGCCTCACCACCTCCTCCTCCGCATCCCCTCTCCTCCTCCTCTCCTCCTCCACCCCCTTCTCTACCTCCTCCTTCTCTCTCTTCCACTCCTCCCCCGCTCTCACCCTCCCCTCCTCCGCCTCCCTCCTCTCCTCCTCAACTTTCTGAAGACTCTCCCTCACTCCCACCAACTCTGCTTCCAACTCCCTCACTCTCTCCCTCACTCCCTCTCTGTCCTCCTCCGCCTTCCTCCTCTCTTCCTCCTCGCCACCAAGCCTCTCCTTCAGCTCTCTCACTTCCACCTCCACATCCCTCCTCCTCCCCTCCTCCTCCTCCACTCTCTCTTTCATCTCCCTCTCCGCCCGCTCCCTCTCCTCCTCTCTCCCCACCCTCTCCCTCTTCCTCTCCTCCACCCACTCTCTCCTCTCCCTCTCCATCTGCTCAACCGCACCCTTCCGAGCCGCTTTCAGCGCCTCAATCTGCTCTTCCAAATCCGCCAGCTGCTTTTCCTGAGTCGCCTCAGCACCACTCCGCGCCTCTTTCAAACCCTCTATCTGTTCTTCCAATGCCGCCAGCTGCTGCTCCAGGAGGGCGCGCTGCTGCCTCTCTGCGTGCAGCCACTCTCTCACCTGCTCCGCCTCTCGTTGCAACTCTTCCTCTCGCCTCCTCATGTCCTCCTGGACCAGCAGCAGATTGTTCATACCACTAGTGTCATTCCCCCCACTCCCCTCTCCCTCCCTAGCTTCCTCTCCTTCCCTATTAGCGGATCCCTCCTCTCCCTCCTCTCTCCTCTCACCCTCCTTCTCCTTCTCCTTCTCCTTCTCCCCCTCCTCCTCATCCTTCCCATTCTGCAGCTTCCGCACCTCCCTCACAGCCTCCTCCACCTCCCTCCTCCCCTTCTCAATCTCCTTTCTCTCCTCCACCACCTCTTTCCTCGCATCCTCTAACACACACACCACCGCCTCATTCCCACCCCTAATCTCCTCAAGTTCCTGCACCAACACACTAATCTCTCCCCTCAACGCCCTCCCCTTCTCCCTCACCCTCTCCTCCCTCCTCTCCAGCAACCCCCGCGCCGTCTGCAGCTCCAATCTCAGCCGTCGGATCGTCCCCTTCGCGTCCGCCCTCATCTTCATCGCTCGCCCATGCACGCGCCTCAGAAGCTCTACTTTCCTCGAAACTTCCACCCTCAGCCTCTCCAGTTCCCCGTCTTTCTCCTTCACCACTCCCCTCAACTCCTCCACATCTCTCTCCACCGAGCAAATCTCCCTCAAAAGCTGATCCTCCCACTGGTTTTCCGCCTTAACCTTTAAAGCCAGCTCCGAAACTCCCACCTGCCGTTGAAACTCCCTCAGGGCGCGCTCCGCCTTTTCCCGCCGCCCCTCTGCTTCCTCTCGTTTCCTGGAAGCTTCCGCTCGTCGCGCTCGCTCACGTGCCAGCATGCAGGACTGGTGGAGGAGGAGATCCTCCATGTAGCCTACCACGTCAGCAGTCGCCACGTCAGCAGTCGCCACTTCAGACGCGGCCACGTCAGCAGCGGCATGAGAAGCAGCAGTAGCCGCAGCAGAGCCTGCATCACCAGCAGCAGCACTCGCAGCCCTTGCCTCCCCTTCCAATCCTCCACATTCCACACCGCCGCTTCCTCCTCCTCTTCCTCCCACGCTCTCCCCCTTCCGAGCCTCCATCCATTGCCAGAGCTTAGCCTCGGCAAGGCGCATGCCGGACCTAAGGTCCTCCACCTCATCCTCCACCTCCCTCCTCCGCCGCACCTCCTCCCCCACACTCCTCTCCATCTCCTCCTTCTCTCCTTCCAGACGCCTCCTCTCCCCCTCTAACTCCAAGATACGCGTCTCAAAAGCCTTCCTTTCTTCGCCTCTCGCCCTCACGAGCTCTCCTTCGCTTGCAGCAACCCTTTGCTTAGCTACTGTCGGACTGCCATGGGTTCCCTCTCCCATGCCATGCCCCCTATTCTTGCCATCCTCGTTTTCCTCCTCGCACTCCGCGCTGCACTTTTCGGCCGTTGCTACAGCCGAGCCCTCACCAGGAGAGGCTGCAACCAGGGGTGTGAGCAAGTCCATGTTCACGACGACATGGCAGGCCTCTGATACCGTCTCAGACACACTCGCAGACGCTGCTGCTACAGCCGACGGTTTCTCAAGTGCTGCAACAACTGGAGACTCTGCAGGTGCAGCTACAACCGAGGGCTCCTTTGGTGCTGCTACAACCGAGCGATCCTCACAAGGGGAGTCCATCGGACGGTTCGGGTTAACAAGTAGGCAACCCTAGACAGCCCAAATACTGGCTATCTGTCACTCCGCCCGTTTCACCCCACAGGAGGCCTCAGGAGCAGCGAGACGGGATATAGCACGAGTGAATGGACTCCCAATAAAGAGTCGGCGCCACGAGGAGAGGTGAGGGAAGACCCGAAGGGCGGGCAGACTGCAGCGGTGGCAGGACGCGGGAGTGGCGACACGGAATGGAAACCCGGTGGAGAGTCGCTTGTAGGCCCTGATTCGCCCGGCCTTGGTCTGTCGTTTGTGACTTAGTGGGAGGTCGAACTTAAGCGGACGGCTTGCAACTTAGGCGGACGGTCTGTAGCTTAGGCGGACGGTCTGTAACTTAGGCGGACCGTCTGTAACTTATTTCTGAGGCTCCTCAAGGATAGGCTGGGCTATCCAGCACACTAGGAGGGCTCGTAGGCTCTGATTCGCCTCCACGGTTTCTGAAGCGCCTCAAGAGAAGATGATTAAGTCTAAGCCAGCTGCTAGCACAGTGCAAGCGGGGGGGCTAGCACAGTGCAAGCGGGGGGGGCTAGCACAGTGCAAGCGGGGGGGGCTAGCACAGTGCAAGCGGGGGGGGCTAGCACAGTGCAAGCGGGGGGGGCTAGCACAGTGCAAGCGGGGGGGGCTAGCACAGTGCAAGCGGGGGGGCTAGCACAGTGCAAGCGGGGGGGCTAGCACAGTGCAAGCGGGGGGGGCTAGCACAGTGCAAGCGGGGGGGCTAGCACAGTGCAAGCGGGGGGGGCTAGCACAGTGCAAGCGGGGGGGCTAGCAGTAAATAAGTCCTGATGGGCTTCGGCGCGAGCGTTGCTTCAAACGCCTCGAAGAAAATCGTCAGGGCGGAGCCAGCTGCCGGCGAACTGCGGCTAAGGGCCGGTAATGAGCCCTGATTCGCTCGCTTGGGCGAGCGAGAAATAGAAGCCGTGATTCGCTTACGCGAACGAGGACAGGCCTTTCTTTATGTATAACTTAGACGGGATTGACAATGGTTTGGACAGGCTTCGGACGACAGCTATTGAGGGATTTGTCCCAGGATTCAGTGCACGAAAGCGGGGCGGTTGTGGAGAGAAGGCGTCGGCAGGATTGGCGCTTCTAGATGACTTCTGAGTCGACTCAATCGTCAATGACGGCGGCTGCAGTGGGGCAGCGGCGGCAATGGCCGCGTTTCCGCGCTCAAGCTCCGCCTGCTCCGCCACCGCTGCCTGGTAGAGGGGGAAACGGGGGAAACACAGAAAAGGAGGATCTTGAAACCCACGGCTATCCCAGTGAGGAGTTTCCGCCTCAAGCTCCGCCCGTTCCGCCACCCCTACCTGGTAGAGGGGGAACAAGGGGAGAGACAGGAAGGAATAACTTATTCCTTAACATTACGTTGAACGTAAAGTCAACTGCCGTGTCTATTCTTTCACCCATGAACAATAGCGGCGGGATAATAAGAGCGAGATAGCGGCGGCGAGAGGAGGGGAGAGAAGAGGACGGAGTGACGAGAGAAATTAGCTGATGGGGCAATGGGGGAGATGATGCGAACCGTGGCGAATGATGTGTCTCGAGTCGACTCAAAAGGTGTGTTTTGAGTCGACACAAACAACCCCGGAGTGACGAGAGGAAGGGAGAGGATGGGGCCATGGGGGAGATGTCTGACGACAACACCGTGGCGAACGATGGCGAGAAGAGGTAAGTGAGGGGAGGAATTAGTAGAGGAGCGAGTGACGAGAGGAATGAGGCGATGGGGCACTGGGGGAGACGATCTGAAGACAACACTCTGGCGAACGATGGCGGGAAGTTATAAGCGAGGGAAAAATGGGAGAAGCGCAAGAGAAGAGCGAGAAAGAAAGGCGAAGCGAGAAAGATCGGGCAATGCCGATGAAAGCTGGGATGCCCGGCGGGTGCACCTTCTATTCATGAAATATCGACGGCGGTTAACCTGGCATCTTGACCGTCAACGACATGTTCGCTGCCCTGGATCGACGGCGACCAAGGCGCTTGACCAGAAGCCGGTATTTCTCACCCAATGGCTGACGGACACGAGCTACGTGGCACATAGGCATTGGGGAACGGAGGACTCGCTGTCGTGGGTTGGTGGTTTCCTTCTGGAATCTGAATCTAGAAAATTGCTCGGCTTTTGGCGGGATTACACGCGAGATAAGAGACGGGGAGACAAGGGAAACGAGAATTTATGTAGGTGCGGATCAAGCTAATCTCTTTAAAAACGTCTGTTCCTGCGGCAATCTGCTGTGGCGGGAGGTACGCTACGGAGCCATGGCTGAAACTCCCTCCTCAGCATTGATTCCACACATTTGGCACCAAAATGGTGCTGCTGGCTGGGTCATCCCCAGCATTATTTGGCAACATCGAGATGAACACCAACCACATACGGTCGAAACGGGGGGGCTGCTGGGAGAAACCTGTGGTCATCGGCAAAACCGAGGTCATCGGGAGAATGGGGTGGGGATGGGGATGGGGATGGGGATGGGGATGGGGAGGCGATGGCTATGGAATGGCGACGGCGATGGCGATGGAAGTTCAATCCCTCATGAGGTTTGGTACGCATGGTGCAACCCACCCACAAACCAGGGGAGGGGATGGTGACATGACATGACATAACTTACAGAACATGTACTGTTTGACGAAAAGGTACAACATGGATGCATGTGATCCATGAACAATGATCCATGTCCAATGACCTTGGACCTTGGACACACGAAAATCTTCACCTCGGACCGAAGACCTCCGAAGACCAATCAGATGGGTAGAGAGACACAAGCGCAGCGACAGCAGCGCGTGAGACGCAGCGGCATTGGCCCGAATCTTTTGGCCGGCGCCCCTGAAATCCGTGAGTTGCTGCCCGGCATCTCTTGACTTTTCAAGGCAGAATCTAGGACGCATGGCGTGACTCAGTACACTTTACATAAACTCCATGTTTTATTTACATCACGTCGATTCAACTGCTTGAGCTGCATACCCCATTGCAAGCAGGTGTATGCAGAACAATTGTTACACAACTGAAAGGGATTTGGCATTCATACAGAAACAGGGGACTCCCACCCACCCATCCAGGGCACAGCCTATACCAGACACAATTGCAGCCCTAGTGGCTGCATCTCATGCCTGCCATTAGTACTCATGAATAAAATGAAACCTGTACACCACCCACTGGCATCCGAACTCAAAAGAAATGCACACCAAGATGTACACTAACCAGCCTGATTGTTCACCGCTCCCAACTCCCCATCACCACGCTCCACATTGCCAGCACCACCAGCATCTGAAATCGCCTGGTGCAGAATCGTGGTTGCCGTGTCGGGTGACATCCACAGGGGCAGCGGCCCTTGCTGCTCCGATGGCCGTCTATCAGCCACACTGCCCGACCGACCCGCCCCGGCCCCATGTTTGCTGCCCTGTGCGCCCCTGTATTGCCTTCCACTGGTAGCAAGGGGAGCCCTACCGCCACCAGAACCAGCACCATCACCACCAGCACCATTACCACCAGCACCACCATCAACATCCCCACCAGCCGCTTCCCCCCTGCACTCGGCTTCCACAGCTGCGGCTGCTGCAATCAGTGCATGCGTCCCTTGGGCCAGCAGAGACCCCCCCTGCTGCTGCTGCTGCTGCTGCCCAGGTGACAGCCCCAACCCTGGCACTTCACTCCCACACCCCCCTGCCTCTGCACCCCCAGAAGCCCCCCCTCCTCCTTGCAAGCCCTGCACTGGCATTGCCAGTTGACCAGCCTGCTGCTGCTTCTGAGCCGCCCCAAAACAGCTCGACTCCGCCACACTGGACAGCCGCCCGCCCATGGGCGGCGGCGGGCTCATCATTGCTGCATGGCTGTTGGGCGGCGGTGGTGAGGTCAGCATGGCTGCACGACCTTCCATAGGCGGTGAGCTCAGCATTGCCAGATGGCTGCTGGATGGGGGAGACAGCATGAGGGACTGTCCCAACAGAGATGGGGATAGAGGAGTGCTGCTGCTGGAAGGTTTCTGCGAGTGGTCAAATGACTGTCCGAGCAGAGATGGGGATACAGACATGCTGTTGGATGGGTTGTGAGGGAGGAGAGTGTCGTCTGAAAAGGCCGGTGGGTGGTCTGAGTCGTCGTCTGCTTGGAGCAGCGCTGACATCTCGCCCATCATTGGTTGAGAGGCTGACATCTCGCCTATGATTGGCTGAGAGACTGACATGTCGCCCATCATTGGCTGTTCACCCATCAGGCGTTTCTCCCCCTCGTCGCCCCACCAGCTCTTGCCATCTCCGCCCGCCCCTGCTTCCTCTGCCTGTGCCTCTGCTGTGCTCGCATGGTGCGCCTCATACTTGGCTTCCACTGGCGTTCCATCTGGAGACGTGGGGGGAGAGGAGGGGGGAGAGGAGGGGGGGGGGGGGGGGGGGGGGGGGGGGGGAGGGGATGTGTGTGTACATATGTATGTATATATACATATATACATGTATACAAAAATACATATATACATATTACATATATACATATATATAGCAAGGATGTTAGGTTGGGTGGTTGTCAATCTGAACAAATTATGCAGAGGATGGTTTTTAGGCGCGTCAGAATTACATACAAAAAACACGCTTGACAAAGCAAGCGATAAGTGGGTTCTCGCAAGACAGAGAAAGAAAACAAGGCGTTTACAAAACAAAAGGAGGCAACTTTCTAGACATGCAAAAATGAGCAGTGGGATGGGATGGGAGGAGGTGCAGTGCAGCGGTGCACTGACCACACTTCTGAAGAGAACGGTACTGCAGACGGACGCTTTCCCCCGAGTCCTGCACTCGCACGAGATACCTGCGGCAGAGGCACACAGACAGAGAGACACGCTGTTTGTCAATCAACTGACAGATTGTACAGGTAGAACAAACATGGGATGGGAGCACGCACATACTTTTAGGCATCCAAAAAGAACGAAAGACAGAGGCAGACAGACAGACAGACAGACAGACAGACAGACAGACAGACAGACAGACAGACAGAC